CCCACGCAGTCAGCATCCGCATCGGGACCATGAGTTAAAAAAAAACGTGCGGTTTTCCTGCCACGCCGCTAGCGTGTAAGAAACGCCCATTGCTATTGCTGCCAAAGAGTTCCCTGCTTGGAAGTTAGTGCTGGAAGAAAAGGTGCGGACGGAAAGGAGTTTGAGTTCGGGTTCGGGTTCGAGTTTGGAAGCGGAAGTAAAATTCGAATTGGAGGTAAGAGAAGGGAGAGAGGGAGGACAAAACCATTTGTGGCGGGGATGCAGGAGTTTGGGAGACCGAGAGAGACGGTCGCGCTAGTGGGGGAGAAGAGGGGTGTGATGCCGGCGAGGAAAGCTATTAAGCCGAAGAGGTAAATTGTGTAGGCTGGGAGAGAAGGGATGGTGGAGGAAGATGGTTGTTTGGAGCTGGTGAGGTGAGGTGAGTCGGTAACGAATTAGAGCTGATGTGATGCAGAGGTTACACCCGGTCAAGTGCTTCATCTTTTCAATGTTCTGTCCGGCTGTAATTTGAATAAAAATTGAATATAGGGTATCTTCATAGTATCAAGGCCGCTAGAATATCACGCGAGGAATCTTTATCCAAAACCTCAAACAATATCCTCATTCCGTCCCCTCTTACCTCCGAAGCAACCACCCTCATCCTCGCTGTCATCCAAGTTCTTCTTCTCAGCCCTCCGCTCTATAAATCCCGCCATATCCCTCTGTTTCCTCGCAACCTCTCTATCCTTCCTATCATATATCTTCTTCACAATATCCTGTTTCCTCATATACATGCCATCAGGACTATGTTTCCCCTTTTTCGCCGGCTTCGTGATAAGCCACAGCCAGATATGGCGGATGTATGTGTATTCCGCTATACTGGCAAATGTAATGTGTGTGACAAAGCCGATGATGCTGCGAATCCAGGGGGAGAAGGCGAGGGAGATGGAGACGATTATTACACCTACTGAGATTGGAACTGATGTTTCCATTAATACTACTCTGTTCCCAAAAACTTGATTCGGTCTGAAAATCAATAGAAGGTGACTTACAGATCAGCTTGAATTGATGTTTTAATGACATACTATTCCCCCCTCCTGGCGTCTCGAACTCGGTGGAGTTCATGCCAAATACGGAAGTCATGAATGAGAGGGGCAAAAAGATGATGGTGACGATTGTGAAGAGCATGATGGAGCGGCCTTGGATTACGCTTTCGTCGGCACGTTTCAGGGCTAATTTAGCTTCAATGATGCTTGCTTGTTGTTGTTTGAGACTTAGGAGGTGGTTAAGCTGGACACGTTTTAGTTTGTGTGCATCGATTGGTAAATTCACAAGGCAATGTGCGGGCTGATGATCGGAAGTTTGGGAACAGGAAAATACCTGATCAGATACAGAAATGGAGTTCTCCTCCAACTCCAGCAATGCTACTCTCCGAAGTCTAGTGTTATTGCACACTCGCTTGGCAAACTCCACGGTACTCTCCGAGATCGAGCTAGCATCATTGCCTGTACTGTTTCCGTTGAGCGTTTTGTATGGAAGAACAGACCCACTTTGAGTAGGAGAGTGGTTATGCTGCGCGGCCAGAGGATCTTCGGCACTGTGCGGCGCATTTATCGTCCCTAATAGGTTCTTGATATCGAGCATAATATCCCGTAATTCTATGGGCGACTTCTTCTCATCTTGCTGGTGTATGTTCTCGAGATGCCTTGAAAAGTCCTCGAGGACGTTCAATTGCTGGGTGTAGATTCGGGTCATCATGCGTAGCTCCTCGATTATGTCATGAGCCTCCTTCAACAGCTCGCCCTCTGGATTGATATTCAAATACGAGCGAGCTGTTGCTTCGAAGTCAAGATGATGATCTATTGCGTTTAGTCTGTCAAGATGGTGCCAGAAGGTGGCGTAGGCCACAGTTGTCATCCCTGACTACTAAAATATCAGTGCCAAGTCCTCAGTTTATCTCGAGGAAGACTTACTACATGGCTGAGAGCATTCGAGAAAATATCGAGAACTTCGGGGCGCTCATCTACAGGTCTTGTCAAGTCGAAAAATACGGTTGAGCACTGGTTCATAATCACCAACCCCAGGTCATAGACTGATTGCACTTGCCCAACTCGGAGGTGGTCCAGGCGGGCGCGGATTCCTTTGTGAACACCAGAAAGATCTGGTTTGTTTCGTCCCCACCGTCTAGGAAAGCTTGTAATAATAGTATCTAGAAACTGTCAGAAATACGTTTCCTACAAAATGTAGGTCGGCTCACTGTTGTCGAGAATGTACATCCACAGCTGATCAACCATGACCACTCGAGTAGTCCTGGAGATGTTCTTTCCCTCTTTGGTTTCTCGGTACACGACCTGATCTTGATCTCTTCCATCGGTATTTGGAAGCTTCCAATAATATGACTGGTCTAGTGTTCTCCGGGAATGAAGAGGCGGCTTTTGAAACAGGTGATCCCGCAGTAGCCTGACATCCGGCTCGACGTCCATGGCATCGTAAAGCTTGGCAATGTGCATTAGATAGTTCCCCAACGGCCCTCGTGTCAATGGCTGTGCTGGCTTCTCATTATCTTTCTGCTTTTCGTGTTCGTCTTTGGTTTCAAATCCAGTCAGTGCCCGGGCGTGCTTAATCTTGATTTGCTCGGACAACTTGATAAATTCGGCTTTCAAGTTTTCTGTGTCGTGGGATTGGGTTTCCTGATGCTTTTGTGCGATTTTCATAGTCTCTTCGGCTATCTTCTTTTGTCGCTTGTGACTTTCCCAATGCAAGTAGGGCATCTAGTTGTTCATCAGTATACAAGATTTCTACTAGCTCGTGTACCGCGTACAAAAATTATAAAATTACTAGTATTGCCGCCATTGGTACACGTCGTTTCTAGGACAGTTAGAGGCCTAAACATACAACTCATTGAAGGGTAGGATGTACCGGGAGATATTCGAGAGCAATGTGCACGCATATGTCTAGCATGGACTGGATCATAACTGCCGCCATGTTGTAATGAGGTCCAGAACTCGCGACAGAGAAAATCAGATGATTTCGTGAGGTAATTCGGGGCCTGACGATAGTTGTACTCCCCGGGCGTCTTCTCACCATAGTAGCGACCGATGGCTTCCTACGGAGTAAACACGGTCAGTGTATGGGAACTGAGGAGGGCAGAGCCCAAAGAGAACACACCTCAATCCAATGCATGTTATTAGCGGGAATGTGAAAATATCGAATAGTGTTTGGTTCACATGCCTCGGTCAGTGGATTGTTCTCTTCTTTGAACAAACAATCATTCAACGGATACTTCTTCATCTCATAGCTCATGAAGGATGAGTTACAAGCCGGATCTGATCTTCTCAGAGTAATCTTCGTGATTGTGAGTCCGTAGGAATCATCAGGGCATGGTCTCGGGTCACTCTGCGGATTGATCCTTCTCTTCCTTTTCTTTGGCTTTGGTTTCGCTTCCTCTTCATTATCTTTGCCCCCACGGAGTGTAGATATGAGACGGGTCAGACGAGTTTTGGTGCTGGCTTTCTTTCGTTCGTGGGCCTTCTTCTCTGGATCCCTTTTCTCCTGTGCTCTCTTGCCTTCGTCTGGATCATTAGGCTGTCCAGGAATAGGAGCTTTGTTCCAGTTCCCAACCTTCTCCAAGACTTGCCGTTCCCATTCCTCTCGTCGCATATACTCTTGCTCCTCAAGCTCCACTTCATGGATTCGCTCCTTGAGAGTTCTTATATTTTTCTCTCTCGAATCGATAGCATGATTCTTCCACTGGGATCTGCATCTCTCATAATGCCACATACGAAGTGCATTTTCGGGTGTTGAAGCAAAGCTTAATCTAAGTTTCTCGATTCGATCGAGCTCTTCCGTGATTCGATGTGCTTCAATCTTCTTTTTCTTTTTCTGGGCATCTGTACCCATAAAATCATTGAGATTCAAAAGGAAAGCCTCTCGATCATGAAACCTCAATCCGAAATATTTGATAAGGGAATCATCCTGAAGCCTGTCGGGGATATAAATAGGAATGAAATCGGCACCTGTAATATCCTCCACTGCCTCGGTAGCAATTTCGATATGTTTTGAAGCCATATAATCGTATCGTACACTGCGTCAATTGCCAGCGATCGAGGGCGGCGGCAATGGGATGTAGCCTCATTAAATAGTGCTGGCCTTGTAATCTTACCCTCCACCACGCCGGTACGGGCCATGCCCGTCATGTTAGGGGATGGGGTTTGCGGCTCAATGTCCTCAAAGTGGGCGAGGGCTTGAGGATCCTATAGAGCCTTGTTGACATGGACCAATGATATTCGGAGTCTATGCTCCACCAATATCTAGCCCTTGAAGAGAAAACAAGGTTTGAGAGGATCGATTGGCGAGCTGAGGTGCAAATGAACGCAAGTGTAAGCAATTGGGGGCCAAAATGCAAGCCTAGACTAGGATCTTGCGACCGATGGATATACTTCGTAGAAACATGGCGAACTCCATTCTCAAGTCTTGTTGCATCTGCGGTGGCTTCGAATGCGGGAACGTACAGCATTGTGTGACTTTGAATGGTGTCTGTAGATTTTGTCCCTGCTCGCTGCCACGACAATGCCATTGTATCGTAGAATCTTCCGCAGGCTTTCTTGCGATGGGCACGTGGTGTCTTGGGTGAGATGAGACTGGGAAACTGGCAGGAGCGATTTATAAGAGGAAAGTGGAAAGAGCAATATATTAGCAAATTTGATTGATTTGATTAATTGTTGCAAACAATTGAAGTCCCAATACAGTAGTATGCTTAACTATTTCTCGAGTATTTGCTGGCAAAACACCCATCGCGATGTGATGTGCTGTACACCAATACAGGGCAGGACAAGACCTCACTACCGGGACGGGACTACTGGCAGGGTTTAGCAAGGTTTGACCTGCCTGAGACGGACAACAATACTCGTACAGTACAGTATAGTATAGTATCTTGAACCAATGTGCTCGACGCTCTGCTGACTTGGGGTGTGATATTGGCGGATGATTCGAGTTTCAAGAAAAATAGTAACACACAAAGTGGTCAGCAGCGACCATCCATAGTTGATGTTATTCACCACATCGAGTTGAGGCCACTAGGGAATGATTATTTGTAGATCGTGACCCGCCTCACCTACCCCTACCTCCTTCCTCCTTTTCCCCCTTTCTAGCCAAGAACTGCTACTCGAGTAGACCGCCAGTCGCACACATTTCTCCTGGCGCGGCGCGGTGCGGTGCGGTGCGGTGCTCAGACGTTATACCAGGCGCTCCAACGCTACAGTCCCCAGTCTTTTGCAAATGTGATGATGGACGGCACTTCACACAACAACAATCCAAATCACCATCTTCCACCTCCTCCCTCACCCTCACAGCCCTCCCAACCAATCCTCCCACGAATCCCCTCTCCCTCCCAATCCCCCGCATACTCCAGGGACGGTCCTTTGGCTCCCGATGCCGCGGCAGCTCTTGCTGGAACACGTCCCCCAGATCTCAGTATGCAGCCAGAGCCCTCCGGGCATAGGCGGCGGCGGAGCACCTTGCTAAACACCCAAGACGTCGGTAGTGCTCGGGGGAAAGCACCTACGAAACGTAATGATTTACAGGAGGAGCCGAAGGCTGGAGATTTGGCAGACGACGACGATATGAAGAGCACAAGCGATGAGGTCGAGCTAGACGATTTATCAGATGATGGACTGCAAGACGACGAAGAAACCGGCCTGACAGGGAAGGATAAGGGTCGGAGGAAACGCAAGAGGAGGCATAATACACAGCTGGATCATCGGATAGCGGGAGATATCAAGATCACCGACGAGGAGAAGAAAGAAGCGGACCAGAATGTGTTCAAAAGGAGTTTGGTCAATGGAATATTGATTGGACTGTGGTATATATTCTCATTATCGATATCAATTGTAAGTTGCAGAACCGATAGTTCCTTTTCCCTCGCCTTCTAATTCCTTTTTACAGTACAACAAGTGGATGTTTTCCGCCGACCACCTCGACTTCAAGTTCCCCCTATTTACAACATGTATGCATATGCTGGTGCAGTTCACTCTGTCATCCCTGGTCCTATTCTTTCTACCACAGTTCCGACCACGATACGATTCCATCTCAAATCCCCATAATGCCCAGACCACAGATTCGGATCTGGCACAACATGAAGCAGACTCCAAGAAGCCATTGATGACACGGATGTTCTATTTTACACGTATAGGACCTTGTGGAATGGCTACGGGTCTTGATATTGGATTGGGAAACACCAGTTTGAAGTTCATTACTCTTACATTTTACAGTATGTCGAATATTTGCCTTCCAACTTGCGGTACTAATTCTCTCCAGCGATGTGCAAGTCCTCATCCTTAGCATTCGTCCTTCTATTCGCGTTCCTTTTCCGCCTCGAAACACCCTCCTGGCGCCTCGTTGCCATTATTGCTACAATGACAGTTGGTGTCATCATGATGGTAGCCGGTGAGGTGGACTTCTCCACCCTAGGCTTCATTCTCGTCATATCCGCTGCATTCTTCTCTGGCTTTCGCTGGGGCCTCACCCAAATCCTCCTTCTCCGAAACCCAGCAACATCAAATCCTTTCTCCTCAATCTTCTACCTCGCCCCTGTAATGTTCTTCTCCCTACTTCTACTCGCGGTCCCAGTAGAAGGTATTCCCGCCCTCTTCCAAGGCCTACGAACACTCATGGAAGTCAAAGGAAACATCCTAGGCCCATGTATTCTCCTCTTTCCCGGCGCAATAGCCTTCTGCATGACAGCTTCCGAATTCGCCCTCCTTCAACGAACATCCGTCGTTACCCTCTCCATCGCAGGCATCTTCAAAGAAGTCGTCACAATCCTCGCCGCGGGCCTCGTCTTCCACGATACTCTCACACCGATCAACATATCCGGTCTCTTTGTTACGATCGGCGCCATAGCAGCGTATAATTATATCAAGATCCGCAAGATGAGGGAAGATGCACAAATCGAAGCACACAAACAACATATTATTGAGCGCGGCCCTGGAAGTGGCAGTGACGCGGATGAAGAAAGCGAGGACAGCGAAGACGAAGAGTGGAATACGATGGAAGGAACAATGGTCACAGCAGACGGCGACATAATACCCACACCGGGCTCTGCGAAAAAGAAAGGCGAGAGCTCGAGAGCGAATGGTGACCGTGCGAGGAGTAGGAGTGAACTAGAGGCCTTGGCAGCTAGTAAGAGAGAGTTGAGTGATTAGGTGTGTAATAATATTGGGCTAAATACATTGGAAGCGGTGGTTGGCATACCCCCTGGCGTTGGATGTGTCTATATGGATAGATATATACGGTTGCATGTAGCATATCCATAGATGAATTTCTATGATTTTTTCGCTATTCTGGTCCCAGGAATACCGCGTCAAAGCCAGGCAAGGCACAGTTCCTTCAAGTGCGGAGCTCGCTCGTGGTTTCTGTCCTGCTATAAGAAATTATGTCTTGTGTCTATTACTCCTCTTATGGTTCTTGGCATGCGGCTATCACAAAAGCTAAACATGTTACTGCTATTTCAAGAGTAGTCACACTTTGATGGTACGTCTTCAATAATACCATTTAAGGAGGTCGAGACAGGAATCTCTTGCGGGACTGCGGAGAGGTTAATTAGAGATAAGCCTCATAAATAGGCTGTTGAATTCCGTTATTACTTTAGTTTTTTACTAGAATAAGGAAATCCCCGAGTGGGCTATGTCTTCTGTTTCAGTGAGACTGTCACATCAAGAGTATTATTTGAGGCTCCAGATCAAAGGTTCTTTCATACCATACTGAAATGCATGCAACCTCTTGACTCAGCATTCGAGTAAGGGGCTTGAAAGGCAAGATACAAACTAGCGATTTGAGGTCAGTCGGCACTTTTAATCTTCCTAATATGTAAAGTAATCGGTTTGCACTTACTTTCGGATGTCTTTTTATAAGAGCATGTAAATTATTATTTATTTTTGGATAATCCGTTCCCTAAGTAAGGCCTTAATCTAGAAATCAAAGGCATGCAATGCCCGTATCTCCGACAGACCTCAAAGTACTTGCTATCATCCCACCTACTCCATTTCATGTTGTATATGAACAACTCCCGGAGAATTCAGAGTCCCCTCCATATCCAACCACTCCGATCTGGCCTTAGCAACCATCTTAAAAAGGTACGTCTCTACCCTCATCTTCACGTTCGGGAACAATTTCTGGAACTCGGTTTTCACAATCCCCAGATCGCCACGGTCGGGAGCTATGATCGATATGTCAGTCACCCTGTCCTTTGGTACGAGGATCGCCCCGTGGAATACTTGGTGTTTTAGATTCATGGGCCCGGCTTGCGCGTGCACGCAAACCAGCTTCTCCGGGGTCCAGATAAATGCTACAGTGCAGCCGTCTACACCGATAGCTGTTATGTCTTTGTGAGATAGGTCGGCGATTTTGATTTCGTTGGGTGATACCATTATGGTTCCCAGGCGATCTTCTAAAGTAGGCATGATGGTTCGAGTTGGATTCAGTGGGATGAAATCTAGGGTGATGAGATTTGGTGTGATGAAAGTCGGTGTGGTGGAGTTTATTCAATAGCTAATAGCTCTTTTTATAACTAGATTCTTAATATTATTGACATTGTTCTTATTGTTCCCATTTTGCGAATTGTTAACTTTTTGTTAGGTTCTTTATTGACTTGACTGTTCTCGACTGGACTTGTTGGCCATTATAACCATTTTCATAGAACAACCATAACAGTAATAGTACCTGTGAACTTGTATCCACCTCCAAGCAATAACTCGCAAAGGTCTTAGTGATAGAATGGACCATAGACTTTCCATATGGGAAAATGCTACGCTTAAGATAAAGGCGAACTGCTCAGCTCTGTCATCCTTCCGCCCTCCGCCGACGTCGACCGAATTGTAGTGGCATAATAGTTATCTTCATTCCCATCAGTGCAATGTTAAGTTAGACTAATGAAAAGTTGTGGGTATTAATTTACGTAAATCCGTTTTCGTGGATGATTTCGACCGGCGGATGATTATATAGTCCTAAGCTCCGCTAAAGTGGCACCGATTCAGCAAGTTGACTATTCTCGCACTCTTCGACCAATAACATAAGTGCAACTTGTCTTTCAAGAGCCATGGATGGTGCACCCGGACACTGGCATCTGTCTAAACTTAGTCAAAAAAGCTAATCATAACTGCCAGTGGCCACCTTTGTCGAACTATATATAACTTGCTATATCCTCTCCACTCCACAGAGGTTCTTCTTCAACCATTCCCTTACTTTTCGTTCATGAATCATGTCGTCTAATAAAGCAATCATCGTACAGAAACTCGGACTTGCTCAAGTAGTGGACGCGCCTTTGCCAAAACTCCGGGATAACTACATTCTGATCGAAGTTCGTGCCATTGCACTCAACCCAGCCGACTGGAAGCATATCGATTATCTGTCCCTGCCTGGAAATTGGTGTGGTTTAGACTATGCAGGTGTTGTATTAGAGGTTGGGAGTGCTGTTACTAAGCCTTTCAAGAAAGGAGGTACGAGCCCTACATCACTGCTATTAAACACCAAAGCTCATCTTCACAGATAGGATTTGTGGTGCCTGCCATGGTGGTAATACACTCTACCTCGAAGACGGATCGTTCGCCAAATATATCACCGCAATAGGCGATTGCCAGATACACATCCCCTCAAACCTGTCATTTGAACAAGCCTCAACTCTCGGTGTGGGTATGATAACCATCAGCCAAGCTCTCTACAAATGGCTCCAACTACCTCTCCCTCCCGCTATCGTGTCCCCGAGCTTTCCGGTCCTCATCTACGGAGGTGCTTCCGCAACTGGCGTTCTGGCCATCCAGTACGCGAAACTGAGCGGGTGCAAACCAATCATCGCCACTGCATCACCCTCCAACTTTGAGTTCCTAAAAGAACTAGGCGCGGATTATGTTTTCGACTACCATAACGCCGAAGCTTGCGTCCAGGAAATCCGAGAAGTAGCAGGCGATTCCCTTACTCGTGTTCTTGATTGCATCGGAGTAGAAATAATCTGCTTCCCCGCTATGAGTACTTCCATCGACGGTGTGTACTGCACGGTGAGTGATCGTCCACCGGGAGAGATCACAAATAATAAGATCAGACGCGAGAGGGTAGAGGGGTATACTGCTTGCGGAGAGCCTTTTGAGATGATGGGGCACCGGATTGAGATTAATGTGCATGATTATGAGTTGGGGAAAGCGTTTAATGAGATCAACAAGAAGCTGGTTGAAGACGGGAAGATCAAAACGCACAAGATAAGTATAAATGAGGGTGGTATTGGATTAGAAGGGGCTTTGGTAGGAATGCAATTGATGAGGGAAGGCAAAGTTAGTGGAAGAAAACTGGTGTATACGATTGATTGAGACTTGGGTCAAAGGTTGCTGTGTGTTTCTTTTGTTAACTTATCATTTTTCACTGGCTAATTCGAAGCTATGTGAGACTATTTGAAATGTATATTATCTTTATTCAGCTTATTGCATGTTCATCCATATATCAGAAAAAGATTCCTCCTATCCATAACACCTAAGTCTTCAGCTTTTCTTCCAAGGCCACCATCCCCACTCGGCCCCAGCCGGTTTTTTGGATTTCTTGCTATTAGACAGTTGACTGCATGCAGGACAATCATGTTTGTTGTACTCCTTGCACACAGAGTACTTGTAGCAGTTCATGCAATAGATAAATTCATCCTGCTGGTTGCACAAAGTGATACTGATGTCGTTGTGGCCACAACGATACGTGATTGTACTTAGTAGACACATTGTATATTAAGCGTGTGTTTTGATATGGGGGAAGTTTAACTTAGTGGAAGCCCATGGTTAAGCGGGTGAAGTTATAGTTGGACCTTGCGATTGTTTTTCCTTGACAAAGCAATAATGTCTTTGTTGGAACAGATGTACATTACATATTCTGTTTAAAGCATCAAGGAACAATTCTTTATGCAATAGAGCAATTGTTCTACACTGTCATGGCCTGCAAAATCCTTGGGCCGCTATCCTCTTGAACTAAGCATTGGATATTGCTTCACAATTCAGGCTTTGACCTACAATATGCCTTTTCACGTTCCTAGTTCATGAGCCCAATCTGACTCTTAATCACTCTGCTTCTCAATTCACGCCTCATTAATCACATTTCAAGATTTGCCCAATATCCATTAATAATTAGGGACCTCAAGGGTTCACCTGGATATTCATTATACTTACCCCTTATTCCATACACCACTTAGCTGAGAAGTTACTTCCACCTTTTTATCTCCGTCTTGAACGTCGGCACATGCTGCAGTCTCTCTCATTATCAGCCTCAGCCTCCACCAAGTTTACGCACTCTCGCCAAGAATGAGACCAGCGGCCTCCCCCTGGACAGCGAATTACCTTGTGTGCAGCGGGGCTGTGCCGCGGCCCCCGCTCCCCCTCTTATCCAACAACTGTTTCGCAAAATACCATCCATAGTATCTTAATTGCGTTCGGATTGAATATATCCGACTGTCTTCCACCCAGAAATTTGTGGAAACTCAGTTCTGTTTGACATTGTTTTTCGCTTCAAAATTCTTCGAACTATGGTTCAAAGCGCTCCCTACTCATATGACATCATTAAGCCTGACCAGATACGACTCTTGAAGTTTCTTGACGATGAGGATCACACTTCCGCTATTCTTGAGACGTTCTCTCTCGACCAGCCACTGGTCTCATATCACGCACTCTCTTACACATGGGCTCTGGACGAAATCAGTTTCACAAAACCCTTAGTCATTAACATCGGGGGACGAGAGCTTCCAATTCTTGAATCTCTGAGGCACTTTATCCAAACTTTAAGAGACAAAAACATCCTTCTTGATGGAAGATGGTGGTGGATAGATTCGATTTGTATTGACCAAACAAATCATGAGGAGAGGGCTCAACAAGTGCAGAATATGCACCAAATCTACCGCATGTCCAGCGAGACGATTGTCTGGCTGGGTGCCAAATCAGGCGATAGTGACCTTGCCATTGATTTCATCGAATACCTATATGAACTATATAGAAATTACCATAGTGTCATGGAAACCCGCAGGCTATTAGAGACGGATCACTATCGTCCACACTGGGCAGCAATCAAGAAACTTCTCGCCCGGAGATGGTGGTCCCGTATCTGGACTGTTCAAGAACTTGTGGTACCAACAAGGCTTTCATTCTGGTGTGGCAATCGAGAAGTTGGCAGAACGGCTATGTGCGAGGGTATAGGAATGACGGATGACTGTTCAGGGGTTGGCATCAAGGAGACGCTGGGTTTTACACATGGTTTCAATCGGAGAAGAATATGCAATCTACATGAAGCTGGGCAGCAGCCTGGAGCAAGCCTGAATCTTCCTCTGGTCGCCTTAACCTCTTACTTTGCTTGCATGGACACGATTGATGATAGAGATCGGTTATATGGTCTCATGGCGGTTTCTACGGATAGCTGTCTTGTGGACGTCAGCTATATTCATCGCAGCCAGGAAGTGTTCTTGCGTTTCGCACAAAATTTCATTGAACGCAAAAAATCTCTGGATATAATATGCTTTGCATCTACATATAGGGCACCATCTCACGCTTCACAGCCTTCATGGGTACCACATTGGCAGAAAATAGAAAGAACGCTAGTGATGCCTTCGATGGTCAGTCAAAGCTCCAAGACACATATCGGGAACCTTCGGCCGCCTTGGGCTCTTGACTGTGACAGTACTCTTTACTATGCTGCATCCAAGCATCGGGATGCTATATATGAATTTCGAGGCGCGTCATTGCTCGTCCACGGCGTCATCATCGATATAGTCGACGGAATAGCGGGCTCTAGGACCACTGAAATGATTCAGAGCACTGAGTGGAATTCCATGGTATCGGTCGACGGCACAGATATCTACTCGCCCACAAAAATACTGTCAAGTGTTTGCAAATGTCTGGTTTTGGACCGGAAGGATCGATACCTACGATTCCCCATGCCTACAGCAGAGTTTTTCAGGGAATTTATCTACCTATGCAAGGGGCTCGTAAAGAATTCAGATCAAACCATCCCCCAGGAACTGCGAGAATGGTTAGCATGGATAAGGTCTCTGCAGATCTTCGGACACACCTTTGAAAACATTTATCGTGATAGCCTCCAAGCTGACCAAGACTTGTTAGATCTCAAGTTCACCCCAAATCAGGATGAGCATGTCAATGATAGTTTCTTTGGTAGATTCTACGACATAGTTGTCAGATGGTCGTTTCGATTGATAACTACCTGTAACGAACGCATTGGCATGGGCACAGAAAGAGTGATGAAAGGTGATATAATTTGCATACTTTTCGGTTGCAGCGTTCCTGTTATCTTGCGGAGATCTAAACTCGAAGACAGTTTCATTTTCATAGGCGAATGTTTCATTGATGGATGTATGGATGGATCTGTTTTGGACAAGTACTTAGATTTGGAAAGAACATTTTGTATACAATAATCAGCTAATGAAGTTATGTCCTGAGTGTTGAAAAGTGGTTCCTTTCATGTTCGAGGCAACCGGACTTAACGGGAAGCGTTAGTAAAGAGTCAAGTCCTCCTGCCCAAACTTCCCACTCTAAAGCCGACTTGAGCATCCTCATGTGCCAGCGTCCCTGGCAGAAATGCAAGAAGCTCCGTGATAATAACAAAGCCCATAAAGACAATATGTGAAACACTCATTTCCAGACGGCGATACAGATTCTCCAGAGACTCTAGCCGCCATGAAGTCAAACAAATCATCACAGCTCAGATCTTCAAATTGTGCTCGTATCAGTTTTCGCCCGTCCCATGTAACAGAGTAAGGCCCTGTCATCTTCGCATCATGGCTGTGAGTGAACAGGTAACAAGATCCACGAGAACCTTGCATATACTCAAATAATATCGGACCGAATACCTTCTCAGGTCAGGAGCTGAAAGAATAACAGAGAACGGCTGAAGAGTACCGACGGATGAACATGATACGCTCCTTACGGTAGGCAGTGGAGTTTCACGCTCAGCCAAATATGCACTTATTTCTGTGACGTCCTGCAAAATCAGCATCCCATTTGCTCAGCTGCGCCACAGTTCAAGCTAATGAAAGATTGGTGCACCAGAAACATGCTTTAATGAGGCAGTTCTCCCATGCTTCCTGAGGGGTTTGAGATGCGGGTGGGGTTTTTGGCCCTTCAAACGAACCTGAACTCTCCGTAGAGACTGCTTCCGAGAGTGAGCCCATGCCAAAGAGCGTATCTGTTATTCAGCCGCTTTTCTAGCTTATAGAGTTTCTGCTTAAAAAATCTCGACTCTGCTATTCTACTTAATATATGTGACGGTTTATCTTCCTGTTAATCTTCTCCTTAGCTGCTTGTTTATATATAAGTCGGAAAACCTTCTAGTATATCCCAAGCGTGCTAGCTAACTGGATGCTAGCAAGCCTTCTTTTACTTTTCCCTTGATATTAATTTAACATCTATTTAAAGAAGGACTCAAGAGTATAGCGAAAGACGGCTTATATTACCTAAGTAGAATCTTTTTATATATACTTGCAATATTTATAAAACGAGTTAGATTAGTGATTTTATAGTAGAAAATAGCAGGCAAAAAGAGAATAAGGTACCTACTAATAGAAATTTCCTTTGATTATATCTAGGAGGAAGAAACTACTATTACTATAATCCTCATCTTTATTCTCAGTTCGTCAGAGTTATTCTTATGCTTAATATAGTACTCTAGCAGGTAGGCGTTCTCTTTTCTGGCGATCTACTCCAGATCGTGTTTGGTGGTTGTTGATTTGCACATCTTGAGTTTGTGGGGCAGTGAGGTGTTAGGTAAGGCCTGTTTTGATTGTAGTTGTCGAGGGAACGTAGGTTGATTCGTCAAAGGGGTTGCAGCCTTTTAGAGAGGCTGTATTCTATATCGATCAAGTTTTATACTAGCCTTCTAATAAATGCATGAGATTATTCACATCTGCTAGTTTGTGCACGTACTAGAGACTGGGCAATAAATTATTCCTTACTAGAAATTAAAGGGGACTAACGCCAAAAGCCTACACCCCTTTTCAGCATTATAGAGCTCATCTATCTGGGTATCATCGAAATCTTGTTCATCGCTCACGGACCAGCTATCACCTCAGCTTCCACCTTCCACTCTGCACGAAGCCCTTTGCCGACCTTCGCAAACATACTCTCAATATCACTCATGAATATGCCTATACTTTCATGATCTTTCAAGTAGATCACTAGACGTATGCCACTTTTATGGCCTTTCTTTCCCAGCCCATGAGACACCTCGGATCGTAGAGACAGAATCCCAGATTTTGCGGAAGGCTCATCGACGGCGCTTATGCCATAATCAGGGCGAATGGTTGCAATTAGTTTGGCTAGAGTACCGACATAACGACACCACCAGGTTAAGTCATGACCAATAAGATCTTGCAGATTATGGGCCAATTGCTGGTCGATAGGCCCTAAATCTGAGCCCCATCTGGAGCACATAGTAAGTGCCAGTATAGCCCGCATCTCATGCGTCAAGCCCGGAAGGCCTGCAAGTGCTCCTGATATGGATTCATGAAGGGCCTTAGCAGAATTGGCATCGTCAGATTCACCCATACCGAGCCAGGTATTCTGCACCACATAGTGAAGTATCTCCGGGGAGAATATGCCTGGGACCTTGGTAGTGAGACCAGAAGATATCGTCTTTGCAACTGCTTCTGCAGCTTCGTAGGACATAGCCGATCCCGTCAGCTGGGACAGAGGGTTGCTTTCTCGAACGTGAGTTGGGAGTTTCATGTATAAGACGCCCTCTCTATTTCCGCCACTACAGAAGGTAACTTGCTTGATCTTGGGAATCGCTTCAACGAGGGCTTGTACCACCGTAACAATAGCCGGGAATTGCTCGCGTCTCCTCTTTGAAAGTCCAAATATCTTCCCCTCGTCAGTATTATTCGCGTGTAGCATCTCCCGCCATTTGATGAATCGATGTCCCTCGACAGTATATCCCGCAATAGACGGAATTGGATAGGGCTGAATGGGATCCGTGTGCATTAGCATGCTCCCATATCCTCGGAAGCCACCCCCGCAGAAGTATATTGTTACTCCGTCCTTGTGATCTGCTTGCTCCTTTAATTTGGGAAATCTGGCCGCTAAGCCGTCAAATGCTGCCTTCATTCTTTGTCTCAATTCTGTCTTTACTTGTTGTTCCGACGATTTGGCTTGCAATGCCGCTGAAACTTTTGCTGCACCGTATGGCATACTTTGTGCAGCACCTGCAGCCAATATATCGTACTCGGCCGTGGAGGAGTTGACATAAGTCATTTGGACACTGCCACCACCGAGGTCCATGAATAGCCCATCGACCTTATCAAACCCACTTCTCGCACCCATGGCTCCAAATAGACTCTCCACTTCCGGACTCAGTAGACCGACGGTCAATCCGCTCGATTTTTGGATTGCCGCTAACATTTTGTCCTTATTGCTAGCCGTACGCATTGCCTCCGTCGCAAAGACATTTATATTTTCCTTCGGCACACCATGTGCATCACAGATATGCTTGAAGCGTCCCAGTGTGGCTGCTACTTCACTGATAATCTTCGGTGGGAAGTTGAGGGTATCGCTGGAGGAATGGAGAGCGTCGTAGAGCGAAATCCCTGCGCGGTCGCGGTACAGACAGTGCAGGATGCGGCTTCGAGGTGGAGAGAGGTCGGATATCGAGAATCGAATGCCATTGCTAAGAAGTGAAAAGTATTAGAAGCTATGAAGACGGTACAAGTAAAGATGGTCCTAGCTACCTGCCCATGTCTACGAGTCCGTAGAGAGCCTTGGCCGAGTGCTTGAACGGAGACATTCTGGATTCAAAATTGGTAATTGTCACTGGCTCTTCCATTTCGTCTGCAATGCCTACCGCCATGTTGAGTTGAGTTGAGGTCTGATAAATTATCAGATAATATATCAGATAATACAACTTGTCGAATCTTTGGAGTTTGGAACCTGAATCTTGTCTTGTGTACCCCTCTACGAAATAATCAACGATGACGCAGATCACGTGTGGATATACCCCGCCCCCTTTTTTGGACAGAACTTACAAGTAAAGCAAAGCAAAGCTGCTTGGAATTTAAACCCTCCCCTAATAGAGACTGTAATGCTCTATAATCAATACACTAGTGAGAGGCCCTTTCTTTATCTCAACATCGTTCAGTCCCTCAAAAAAGTATGATATACCACACGCTTTGGCAAATATTGTTTACAAGCCCACCGAGTGAAAAGGGGTATCTTGACTAATGTTTGGATATTACTACCAAATGCCCTAACTAGCATACGTGACGCTATATCCTCTGAAGTAGGTCACATCTTCACCGATCTGCACTGCTCCGTTCTCATCAACAGTAACATATTTCCCATTCTCCTTCTGCAACGAATATCCCTTTCCTGCAGCAAACCCCACCGTATATGTCTCGGCACCAGTCTCACTATTCACCAGGGCAGTATGACTGCCAATATATCTCCCGTCTCTCGCACTACTAATCGTAAAAGTATTTCCTCCGTCCACAAGATTATGCACCACCCATCTCTGCGCAATACTCTCATGTGACAACGTTGCTTTCGTGGCTGTGAAAACACCAGCTGGCTTCCCCGGATTTGTAAGTGCGTACCCGCCCATCTCGAAAACGATAAATCGTCCCTCAGTCATCGCACCGCGCATCTCCTTGAATCCCTGTTCAGACAGACTAGACACGTTCTTAGCATCGATCTGGTTGTCGTAGGGAACAAGTGGTCGAGTATCTTTATGTTGACTCTCGCAGTAACTAGCTCCGTCGTAGTTCCCACTCGCATCTGTATGCGGAGCCGGTGCATCGGGCAAGCTGGGGATAGAATAATCGGGATTCGCAAAGTCAAACGCGTTGACGAGCGAAGACATGTGTTCGCGTCTCCACGGCACCATTTCGTTCGTCGTGACATTCTTGCCCTTGGCAGCTAGCCACTCTTCCACAAATAGTAATTGAGAGTTGTGGTCCGAGTGCTCAGTGAACACGGCCCCTCCGCGTGTCCACGGGGATATGATACAAAATGGGAGTCGAAATCCAGGGCCGCTGTAAGTGTACCCGACCTCGTTGTAAGGATCTTGGATCCATTCCCCTGCCGTGCCTGATGGGGAATGATATGGTACTACATGATCGCCCCATCCTCCCGTTTCGTCGTACGAAATTACGAGTGCTGTTTCTGCGTATCCTTTGCCCTGCGTCACGGCGTCTACGACTTTCTTTTGCAGCCAGGCGCCGTCTCGTGGAGAGTACGGTGGATGCTCAGAGAGTTCAGCTGGGCCTATGATATATGATACTGCAGGGAGAGTTCCATTTGCTGCTCGAGCGTAGAAGTCATCGAGCGAAGAACCGACCATTCCTTTGTTGTTGAGTTGACTTCCTGGCAACGCATCTTGAAATTGCTTGAACCACGCAAGAGGGTTATCATCAAAGTTGTCGGCGTCTTGGAATACATCCCACGAAACATTAGCATCTTGGTAATGTTCAGCGGCTGTCTTCCAAGAAAGCGGATAACAATTAAAGCCCCCTGTCTCGCAGCCAGGAGTCTCGTTGTTGTCGATGTAGGGATAACCGCCTTCCGATTCAGTTTGCGGGGAGCCAGGGACGTTGATAGAACCAGAAGCCCATACTACGCGGTTGGGGTTTGTGGATGAAATGATGGATTCTTGGTACATGTCCCCAACGGTCCAGCCATCGGCAATACCGAATTGAACTGGAATGTCACTTCTTCTGTAGTGACCCCAGGACCATGGCGTGTTGTTCGTAGCCCAGTGGTTATTCAAACCCCCATTCAACGCAGCGTGGTTATCTTGCCACCCATTGTCTCCTGCTACCATACACTGTGTAGCTTCCAAGAAATCGCCGCCTTGATAGTTGAGATACCATGGGAGAAGGTAGGAAGCGGAGGTCGTCAAGTTTGAGTTGACGTCTTGCTGCCAGACGGCTTTACCGGAATTAACTTGGACATTAGGATCTGAAAATCCTCGTACTCCAGCCATAGTCCCAAAGTAGTGATCAAAGGCACGGTTTTCTAGTAATGATTAGTAAAAGAATGTGAATTTGGGAGAGATGTTACCTTGCATGAATAGGACGACATGTTCAATATCTGCAATTGAGCCAGCTATTGCTGCTCCAGCAAGTAATGGATACATGACCCGAATTGCGGATATTAAACTAGGAGCGACTACCATTGCATAAATTTATGGTCAGTATTTGGCCTGCTGGGCCCAGGACGAGGATGGAGAGTCACATATATATCTGCAAGTGAAATCCGCAGATCGGCCCGGTCTGTCCAGGGCGATTCGCAACTACCTAGTCAGGCAAGATGAAGCTATTACCAAGAGTCAATGGACTTGTATCCCACTATCGCCTTAAGGCACCACGTTTCCTGAAAATGGTTGCCAGTCCTTGAAAAAGGTGGTCGTTGCATTGTCCAATCATCGTGGTAGATTTTTGCCCGTGCTACTCAGGCTTTAACCCCGCGTTGGATGGCTACCAAAATCAACAATCTTTGAACCAAGTGAGTAAGCACATTACCGTATTCGCAATGCCATTGGTTGTTGATCTTCTGTCCTGCCAATTGTAGCTAGATTGAAGAACTTGGAAAGAGAGTGGGAATACTTGTCCCGTGACCCAGGAATTTCCCTGGGTCTCTCTCTGTTGACTACCTACAATCACTTGAGGTAGGTACCTAGATAAGATGGGTGCTGATATTGTAATTGGGGGATGAGATGCGAAAGAGTGATGCTGAAGACACCGCGACGCGACGACAAGGATCATGGAAAGCGGGAAGAACACGAGAAGAAGATTGAGCGCGACATCGACGGCAACAAACGACAATGAAGCTTCAACAGAACTCTTGCCACGAGAAAGAGACCGTGATGACACCTCCCATGAGCCATCCTCAAGCTCAAACTTCGGACATCAGGAAGATGGCAGTCTCAGAGACAGTAGTAAATGGCTTCGACCCCTCGGTGTACTTTTCCTAGTTCTCTTACTTGCCGCGATGGCCTTCTCCTCGTTCCCAACACTCTCTCAACTTGCAACAAAGTCTAGAGCAGCTGATAAACCTCAAACTGCCATTAAGGACGAGGACGCTAGCCAGCAGCAGATGCTCGGAATCCAGATCCATCCTTATGATCACGTGTCGAGGCCATCAAAAACAATCACGCACCATTGGAACATCACCTCAGACTACCGGTCTCCAGATGGTATCAAGAAGCAAGTGTTTCTCGTCAACGGACAGTTCCCAGGTCCTACGATTGAGTGCCGTTCAGGAGACCGACTTATCATCCACGTGACAAACAGCCTATCTTCGAGAGAAGGGGTCTCAATCCATTGGCATGGGCTGCACATGCGGAATGCGAACTCGATGGATGGGGCTGTTGGATTCACTCAATGCCCCATTGCCAGCGGGACAACTTTCACTTACGAGTTCAATGTGGAAAAGCACCAAGCAGGAACATTTTGGTGGCATGCGCATTCGCAGGTTCAGAGGGGTGATGGGATGTATGGAGGGCTGGTCGTTCATAAGCCATCCAGAATTGACAGTGAACTCGGAGTATATGGTTCTGAGAGAGAAATTCTTCTGATGATTGGGGACTGGTATCATCGGACCTCGAGCGATGTTCTCTCGTGGTATATGAGTACTCGAGGCTTTGGAAACGAGGTAGGCTGTCTTTGTTTTCATGTCCAAGCAAATTGCTAATCTTTGAAAGCCAGTCCCAGACTCCCTGCTTGTGAATGGTGCTGGAAAGTTCATCTGCTCCATGGCAGTTCCAGCGAGGCCAGTTGATTGTGTCGACATCCGCGACGAAGATGTCCTTTCCATCCTTGGTCACGACAAAAGCACGGGGCCTATCCGCTTGAGGGTTATCAATGTCGGGTATGTTACTGACTTGGAAAGGTTAAATTAAGAGCTGACCCAGTGATAGTTCACTAGCAGGTTTCACTATTGGGCTTTCGTCTGGAAACTTCACTCCCTTGACCGTGGACGGAGATTTTCCTATCGCTGGCGAACTTTCAAACTCTTTAGGGGTTCTCTATCCTGGCGAGCGTGTTGATATGCTTCTCCACTCGGTTGTATCTGCCAGTAATGATCTTCCTAAATTGCATATCAATCTAGATCCCGAGTATGCAATCCACCTTGGATTTATACTCCCCTGAAGCTGATGGATGTTATAGGAACTTCAAGTATCCGAACCCAGCTATGCGGCCCAACCAGTCCTTTCCTCTTGTTTCTAGCGCTCAGGTCTCTAGTGAAGAGATCAAGATGCACGAGATTGAACAACGGATGCATTTCGATCTGGCAACTGCAACCGCCCCCGAGACGCACGATTATGGAGACCATTTAGAAGAAGTGGCAGAGCAGACAATTCTCCTCTATACCAAGACACAAAAGCTGGCGAAGCTGTCTAACCACCCAACGGGCTTCATTAATCGAACATCTTGGGCGCCACAAACCTCCCCGCCTTTCCCCCTTCTTTCACTGCCTCGAAATCAATGGGATGCAAATCAACTCGTTCCTTGGATTCCATCGTCTGCCGAATCTCCATCTTGGGTGGAAATCATTGTGAATAATCTAGACGACGGGGCACACCCTTTCCACCTACATGGAAATGATTTCTATGTTCTTGCTTCGCACCGGTCAGAGCATGGATGGGGTAGCTATTCCCCTTACGAAACTTCGGGGTCCTCTTCCATCAAACCAGTATTGAACTTGGTGAACCCTGTCAAGAAAGATACGGTGAGCGTTCCCCGGAGAGGGTACGTCGTCTTGAGATTCCGAGCCGATAATCCGGGAATCTGGATGTTCCATTGCCATGTTCTCTTTCACCAAGCAAGCGGGATGGCGATGGGCGTGTTAGTCGATGAAAATTATGAGTATTCACAGGTTGATCCGATGGCAAAATTACTCTGTGGCTAAAACCATCTGCCGGGACACCTTGGCTGTAGGTTGATATCGGCTTGGAACCAGGTGGCATGGTCCATTTCATTAAAAGTTTGCCACTCAGGGCCAGACCAGAGTCACTCATCCCTCTCCTACAGAGTTTATGGAGGGTAATCGTTTATACATCTATGGTATATTGTTTCGATCAAAATTTAAAAGCCATTGACACAAATCAAATCAATTTTTAGCTCTTTGGAGCAGTCTCAAGATGAGTATATAGGTTCCATTCCCAGCTTGGATGTCCCAATTTCACCTGGAATTTCACCTGGAAAAGCAGAATCATGAACCAAAGACGTTGCAAATGGACCACAGTCATAAACTTTTGCAATTATTGGTTTCGTCCGTATTATTTGATTATTGTCTGCCCTAAAATGCTGCAGGGTGGCGCATGCGGTGAGGATAAATGCCCCATCATGACCCCGCTATTGGTCCATATTACCACGAATAAAAACGTGCCTGGTATATTATCGGACGACACACTTGTCGTGGGAAATATATTGACTTAATATATCCAGCGCTTCACCGATTCGAGGAAACTATTCCGACTCCGACTTCATTTTCTTGGCTACAACTTTTGCGTTGCAGAATGATACCTCTGAAGGAGAATTCAGAGCGACTGATTCTACTATGGGCCTGCAAGAAGTTCGTTGGAGGAGAATCTGGAACCCACAGATGGGCCCACGGACGGAAAACAAGAAGTAATTCTTAGGATCTTAAGAGTAAGGGGATATGAAAATCCAGTGCGAGTATGTGAGAGTTTCTATAAATACAAAGATAGTCTATGACCAGCGTCCTTTCCAACGCCACGCAACAATCACAAGCCTCTATCATTATAAGTTTGTTTTAATATGCACTTCTATAAGCTTTCAGTCTTGGCTACGTTGTTAGTCAGAGTCTATGCCCACGGCTATGTAGATAATGTTACCGTTGCGGGAACGCTGTACACAGTAAGCTATCTACCAGAAGTTTGCATGAACCAGAACCGCTAATAGCTCAGGGCTACCAACCCTACACCGATCCTTATTATAACCCCATTCCAGATCGAATTATTCGACCCGTGCAAGGCAACGGACCTATCCAAGATGTAACCTTGATCGACCTTCAATGCGGTGGCTACACAGCTGGTGGCATCTCTGGATCTTCTCCGGCAAACTTGACAGCCGGACCTGCTGCTGCCGGAAGTCAAGTCTCCTTGCGATGGACACTTTGGCCGGATAGCCATTCAGGACCCGTCATTACATACATGGCAAGGTGTGCGAACGATGACTGTACAACATATTTGCCTGGTACATCGTAAGCTCTCTATTGCCCGTATTGCACGAGACAAATGCTTACAAGTCTATAGTGCCGTATGGTTTAAGGTGGCAGAGGCCGGACGTACAGGTACTTCAGACGTTTGGGGTGATAGCCCTCTCATGGTCGCTGGTAATTCCTACACATACACCATCCCCTCTTGTCTAGCAGCCGGTTCATACATTGTACGCCACGAAATCATTGCTCTCCAAACCGCCGGCGAATATCCTGGCGCACAGTTTTATCCTTCCTGCCATCAGATAAAAATCACGGGAAGCGGAACAAGCACTGGTCCAGCGTCGAAAGTTGCCTTTCCAGGTGCCTATGCAGCGACTGACCCAGGAATCACTTATGATATGTACACGGCACAGACGTATACGATTCCTGGGCCTGCTGTTTTCACTTGCTGAGAGCATTAGCATGATGGTATTTTCGATTACTGAGATGGGTTCTAGTGTGTTAAGGAAATCAGTCTCGGTTGAATTTGAATCCCAGGGAATTAGCCGTTCTTTCTATTGTAAGCCACAGAGCCAAGACCAAAAATTTGAGCATTGGAATACACCATTCATCACAGCTATAACAGGCTACGAATGTGGTCCATACTGCATGAAAAGTCCCGCTGTCGCGAGAACATTTGAGCTGCGCATTACTTAACTAGTTAAGCTAGAAATTCGACGACCTCAAGTAATGATAGAAAGAACGGCATACTCCGTAGAAAGAAACAAAGTCTCAATTTCCGGGTATAGGCCAACGCGACGCGCCTTGGAATCTATTTATAGAACTCACTGGCTCGGGACATCATTCTCTTCCCCACCATTTATTCTTTAGCTTCACACTTGCGTAACGTACAGAGAGATATTGTGCTTTCAGCTTCTAGTATTCAATTTTTTGAAATAAGTAAGCCCGCTCGATTGATACTAAAGAGATTATAAAAATAATCTGTGCTGATCATCCGCCGAGACGTCGGATATAAGATACCCTGTCCAGTGATCGACGATGGGGAGATAACGTCGCGCTAGGCAGCTAATGCATATCATAAACAAGTACAACTATCATGCCAGACATTATCTTTATTGAAGATACATCGTACTTCGGGTTTGATGCTCTGTTCAAGAGCGCTGATCAAAGCTTCTGCTTTCACAGTATCAAGGATGGCTTCCACTCATGCGGGCCATGGTACACCGATGAAGCGGGTGGTCATTGTTGGAGCAGGTGAGACCCAGGCCCCGCATGCTTGAATTTGGGACTGTTTCTAACCTGGCACTTTATAGGCTGGGCTGGATTAGTTGCCGCCAAAACGTTGGTCTTCCTGAACTCCAGCTCACTTGAAAACTCCTGTTGCTAATTCTACAACCAGATATCTGCAAATCGACCCAACTGTCGATCTCACAATCTTTGACTCGGAACGAACCGTAGGAGGTGTCTGGTGCAAAGACCGATGCTTCCCAGGATTTTTAGCCGACAGTCCAACCGGTCTCTTCGATTATTCTGACCTTCCTATGCGTGATGTTATTGGGTGCAAAGACTGGGAAGACCTTCCAGGGATCAAGGTGTACGAGTATCTTCAAGCATATTCGGAGAAGTTTCATTTACTTGAAAGATTGAGATTACAGACACGGGTATCAAGAGCCTCTCGAAACGTCGATAAGAAGAGATGGGACGTTGAAATAGAAGGTACAAAAGAAGTGATCACGTGCGACAAGCTGATTATTGCTGTTGGATTAAACTCGAAGCCAAATTGGCCTGATCTGCAACTAAAAGACTACAATGGACTCCTCTTACATTCCAAAGATGTCGGTATACAACAAACAAATCTCATTTCCGATAAAGTCAACCGAGTTACGGTGTATGGCGGATGCAAGTCTGCGGTTGACACCATCAACCACTGTGTCGAAGCAGGGAAAACAGTTGACTGGGTAATCCGAGAGGAGGGTAATGGTCCCGGAATGATGATCCAATTTAAACAATATGGTATCCATGGTGCACGATTGGCAGGTCGGTGGAAAAGCATCATGTCACCCTCAATTTTTGCATGCACCGGCTGGTGCTATGAATTCTTCCACAGTGGCAAAATCAAACTGGGAAACTGGATGTTCTCTCGATTCTGGGAGAAAGCTAGCACAGCCCCACTTACAATGGCCCCGTACAAAAAGAAGTGTTCGAATACAGAAAAGCTTATGCCAGAGACAAGAAAGTTTGTTGACCTATCAAACTCTACAATACTGACGGCTGACGGTTTAGTGCGCTTTTCTTCACTGCAAGTCTATCTGGTCTCCACGACGAGAAGATAAAAGTGTTTTTGAAGGAACTCCATGAGGAGAAGCTTATCAAAGTCCATCGCGCAACCATTACCTCGATGTCAGGAAATCAAGTCACACTCTCGAATGGCGAAATTCTTCCTTCGGATGCTGCAGTGTTTGCAACGGGATGGGATTATCGCACGAAGATCTTTGACCCTGCGGATGCCCTTTCCGTAGGATCCACAGCACCCCTTCAAGACGAAGATGAAAAGACACGAGAATACTGGGAGACACTCCATCAGAAAGCCGACCGAGAAGTTACTGAACTTCTTCCGGTCCTAGCGCACCCACCACCTCATTACGAACGCCCAGTTACCTACACACCTTATCGCCTGTACCGCCATATCGTTCCATCTCAACTCGCAGCTGACAATGACCGCTCCCTGGTGTTTCTCGGTCTAGTAACCAGCGTCCAGACCTCAATCCATGCCGAAATATCTGCATTGTGGGGAATATCATGGATGGAAGGGCTGCTGGATCTTCCAAATAAGGCTGAGATGGACTATGAGATTGCAAAAGTCAACGCTTGGTCTGCACGTCGATACTTATCCCGAGGACGAACGAGACAGGTCGCCTCGGCAGAAATCCAAGAGGTGTGTGACTTGTTGATGGAAGATATGGGGCTTAGAGTAAAGAGGAAAAGCAACTGGTTCTCCGATGCCTTTTATCCGTACACTGCTCAGGACTATAAAGGTATCGTGCAGGATTTCTTGGCAAAATCCAGAGGGATTGGTGTGAATTAGGGATAACTAGGGAAAACTAAGAGCTGTATCTACAAGCAATTTAAAAGGATCTATGCTCGCAGAGGTCCTCCAGGACAAGTCATTTCGTCACGCTATTCGTCACTAAACTGTGTTTCGATAACATTTTTATCGATTTCAACTGATGAATTAGCAGTATGTTTTAGCCCACCAGGCATGATTTCTTTGTTCATCTTGAAGCTCCAGGATTACGTCACGTGTACACTTTCAGAAGGAGTACTGTTGGACAATACTGGTCACAGAGAGGACGATAATAATGGTCACAGCTAGTATAGACGTGATGGGCATATAATTGTGTGTATTCAATGAAAACGAGCTAATCGAGATGAAGAGTTTTATCCCACAGACGCTTATGTAAGCAGCTAAGTCCAACAAATACGGCGGGTTTCAGGAGGTGAAAACGGAAAACGGCTGAGACTACGGATACAAGCACAAGTAGCAGATTTATATCCAATTCTACAGATTATGAGGAACTACGAAGTATGACTCAAGCTCAAGTCCGAAGCGTCGTGAACTCCGTTCCGTAGCTATGACTAATCAAGCATCGACGCTTCTGATTTGCTATGCTTCTGTCAGCTTACAGCCGAATTCAGCGAATTCAGCGAGCGGAGATAAGACGAGGTGAAGATATCACTTTTAACTACGAGCTCGTCGCACTTTTCTCGACAGTCCGTTCTTCTCGGTCCTTTGTTAAAATTAACATATTGTCTTGCGGCTGACCACAATCTCATCAGATAAGATTATATTGGCAGCTCGTGATGGACGCATCTGCATGTATCCCCACCACAATAGCCGGAGCGCCACCGAGGAAAAGACGCCGACCCGCATTGTCTTGCGCAGAATGCCGACGAAGAAAAATAAAGTGTGATCGGAATATACCATGTCGACAATGCACTCAAACAAAGAGTGCAACATGCACTTACAGCCCGGAGAGGTTGTCTGCGATCAATAGTCACGGGAACAGAGCCGTGGGCCCCCTCGAGACTCCCCATGGAACGCCAACAAGTCCAAAAGGCGCGCCTCGCACTGCAGACCTTTTGTTTTTAGAAGAAGGACAAGTTGAGGACATCGCCGCTACTACTCCTGCGAGCTCGTCTGGTTCAGAACAAAGTGCTGTCCAAACACTGGTCGATCGTGTTCAAAGGTTGGAGCATGCGCTAGCTTCAGCTTCATTGGATGTGCGAGCCAGCTCGGCGGGCTGTAGAACCAAAACGTCAGCTAAGAAAGAGATTGACAGGAGCGTTTGGCACAAAACGCGGTTCTACGGCCAAAGTCATTGGGTTCACCCCTTCGAACAGGTACGTCCGTGGACACCCTAAACTCTACCTCGATGCTGAACAGTCTAACAAAACCAGGCGAGAAAAATCATATGTTTTGAGTATCTACCAGGGGGTGGGAGTAACTTCAAAGTAGGAAATGGTCAAGCCAATGCTCAAGCCAGTGCCGAAGTCAATCGTCTCGTGAATGAATGCAAAATCATGGCTAGAACCATCAAAGCTGCCAATGCACCTCAGTGGCCTTCCTGGATTCCAGATGTTGAGAAAACTTTACCTCCTCGAGAACTATCCGATCAGTTGCTTCAGTTGTACTTCAAGACCAGCGAGTCATCTTGCAGAATCTTGCATAGATCATCGTTTTGGAAAGAGTACGAACAGTACTGGAGCTCGCCTCAATCTGCTAGTCCATGCTTACTCTTCAAAATCTTGCTTGCGATGGCTTTGGGTATATGCTTCTATCAAGGTCCGGAAGCGAATGACCTTCGAAGCAAAGCTCAACAATGGATATATGCAACGCAGATGTGGCTGGTTATGCCACACGAGAAGTCCCGATTAAACATCCCTGGTCTTCAAGTACAATGCCTCCTTCTTATAGCTCGGTCTGTCTTTAATATTGGTGGGGATTTGGTTTGGATTACGGCCGGAGCTGTTTTGAGAGCGGCAATCAATATGGGATTTCATCGAGATCCCAAATACTTCCCTCGTATGCCAGTTCTGCAGGGGGAACTCCGTAGGCGACTCTGGGCTACAGTCTTGGAGCTCAACCTCACCAATGCGATGGATTCAGGAATGTCGCCCATGATCTCAGCAAACGATTACGACACCGAACCACCTTTGAACATCAACGATGATGAATTGACCGAGTCTACCGTGCATCTACCGACGTCGAAGCCACAGAACGTGTACACTGAAATGTCACTTCAATTGGCCCTTCTCAGATCTTTTTCCCTTAGAACCGAGGTTACTACCATGATCAACGACTTCCGTTTCGAACCTTTGTATAGCGAGGTAATACGCTTAGGGACAGAGCTTATGAAAATATACAAGGAGAACAACAAGATCCTAGCTAACGCATCATCCGATTCGTCACCATCTGAGCAATCAAAACCAAGCCTGATGCATCGCAAAGTGGTTGATATTACAACCCAGCGCTATCTACTTGCACTTCATCGACCTTTTGCTATGAAGGCCCAGTCGGATCCTCAATTCTATTACTCGCGAAAGGTTTACATCGATTCCGCAATGGCCGTGCTGGCCCATCCGGATCCATCAGTAGTAGCATCCCCCCTTTCACGGGGATTACATGATGACTATCACCTTTTCTGTCTCAGTGGTGGATATCTCAAAGAAGTAATGATTCATGCATCGATTGTGGTTTATATGGAATTAATTATTCTACTTGAGGAAGACCCAGACATGGCCTTTGATCAAGATCGGAAAGAATCTCGCGAGCCCTATCGGCGTATGCTAGAGCAGGCAATTGAAATCTCGCGGCAACGAATTGCTATAGGGGGCGAGACAAACGTTAAAGTAAGCGGTGTGAACTTTCCATTTTTGGTGTTTGGGTATCCTACATACATGTCTCGGGAGCAACTGTCTCCGGAAAGGAATGCTGTGAACGGCCATAAAAATATCCATGAAACAAGCTGACTCTCCTTAGGGCCATCTATTTATGTCAGTTGCCATGGGACATGTCAATGCCATTGAAGCAGGCAGGCCTTCGGAAGAAGGCATTCTCGAAGCTGCCCAGAGCAGTGCCAAGCGATGCTACGATATGCTGAGAGCACGACTTCCATCAACGCCAGATATGAGTTTGTCCAATCAGCAAAATTTCTCGGGGGACGAATTCGCCAATGGTCAGTTAAATTCCGATTTGCATTATAAAGACATCGATTTCACCATGACGGACTGGGGGACGGCCGATTTTGATAATATCCCAGAGGCATGGATGTTCTCCTCGTGGAATGAGATGAATACGTGGTGAAACAAAACCACAGGGAGGTGGGATGGATTGTATAGTACGTGTAGAATTATTAGATTCTCCTTCATTTGGATTCTATAGAACGGAGCACCACTCAACACTATAGACTCGCCTTTTGCGAGTTACTATCAATTAATACTCTATTCTCACCGATTAAACACATTGTCTCCTCTTGAATTTCACGCACTATAAGCAAGTGACACATTTTCCGTGTAGTCTGGGGTCTGGGGTAGTATTACTGCCAGGTTGTTGGTTTGCACCGCCTTCAGGATCACCTAATATTGATGGAAAGCTTAACTCCGCGGCGTTTGGTATATGTTGGCCCCTCCTCCTTTCGAATACGAATTCTATTCTTTCGTGATTTGAAACTATCACTCTGGGTTTTATCCTACCAATCAATATTCCTATAGTATAATGATTATATCAAGTTTTCTTGTTGTTCGCTCGATGTAGTCTATAGATGCAGGTACTGGCATGTTCATTGTTGTGAGAACTTTAGGAGAAGTAATAGCGCAGGAGGCATAAAAAGAGACCAAGAGTGTTTGAGATTGGCTCATCATTTAATGCTTTTTAATCCTATGCTTATACACATTTGGGGCGTAGTTGTTTCTTTGATTTTGTTGCACATTGCTTAGGATCAATTACAAATTAAATACTTCGAGATAAATGGTATTGCATCATGTCATCCGTGACATTCTTTAGCATAACTTCAAGTATTTACTGATTAAATACATCTCGAATAAGGGAAACTAAATCAGACTATTAGATAAATGTGAACACGTCAAACATGGTCTATAAATGTCTCCTTAGCGCAATCGCACTATTTTCCTAAACGGGAACAAAACTAAGGGGAAATCCTCACCTATCAAAATAGTGCCGCACATAAATATATCTTGCTGCTTATATCTAAATCATCTAAGTACGTTAATGCTTAGCATTTTCCAAATACAGAGTTCACTCTTTTCTTTTGTTGCACGTCGCAAATGCATAGTTATAAATATCTCGACAAGTCAGAACAATCACCCATGACGCCAACCACCTTCCATATCTAGTAAACGTAGTAAATGAGGTCAAGGAATACAAGGAGTGGCTGATTTTGACTCGGATGTGTTTGAGTCTCTCGCTTTCCTAATAAGTTGTAGATGCCATTTAGTTCTTGTTGCACATCGCTCGAGATTAGTTATAAATAACTGCTTACAATCCACCAGCGCCGCACGGCTGTATATTGTTTGAGAAGACACAGGACTACAGTACTCCGTACATACTATCTATTAGAAAGAGGTCCCAAGTACAAGGTTCCAACTCCTACGACCCCACTATGCAACTCAAGTCTTTTAACGAAGCCAAGCTCGTTATTTTTGTATTTTTCGTTGCACGTCGCATTATGGAAAACTAAAAATATACAGAGAAGGGTACATTGAATGCGACTCAGCTCTCGTAAACCGGGCCACTAGTTTTGACTGTTCCGAACGACGTGGCGGTTACTATAGGATCGCGTGGGGCTCAGCGAATCCTTCTTCGGATACAACTCGCAAACGGCTTGGGGATTATTTTCATAAAATGGTGTACGTATAGTGTGCACTTGTGTTATTTCAGGCTTCGCAAAAGCAAATATAGTGTTGATTACACTTTGTAGCATTTGAAAACTGATATATCGTGCTTGGTACTCGCGTTTATTTACCAAGTTATAATTTGCAGATATTCTTTTGAGCAAACCCAGACTTCTAAACTTTACATTGACTTCAAAAGGACACCTAGGCAGTCAGGATTGAGGGAACCAGTATAATAATCTAGGATTTAGATCCATAGATATCAATTTCCACAGGCCATGCCACGATCAAAACTGCAGGATTTTGTTTCATCGGTCGTGCATTGTTGCTAGGTCAAGTCGGGAGCGAGCATTTATGGAAGGCGCGTTGGCTGTCTAATATATGTTTCTAGCATCACAGATCTTGATGAAATTTTACTGTGAATTGTGAATATACGGGGCGCTACAGCATTCACGAAGTGTTGAAGTAGAAGACACGGGAGTGGTGGTAAGCAGCAGACCGACTCGCAGTGGCTGTGTCCCTGAACTTCGCTCTGAGGCGATAGGACATCCCCTAATAATACTATTCTTCACTGAATACAAACTAAGTTATTTCTTCTTCTTTCTCAGCTTCTGAATTTATCGCTGCATTTAACTAGTCTAGTTTCCCCTGGGCTTCTTAACGGGCAATACGTATCCAACCCGTAGCCCTTCCGGGCGATAATTCAACCTAGTAAGAAACACCCAGGCGGCAACCCTTTGATTTACCAGTCGGGCTGAATAACAGATATCGGTCGTTAGTCATTGTCATCGTGGAAACCGGCATGAGGCTTGCGTATAAGTTTTCATGTAATTATTGCTACGTAGAATTGATTTATATCTGACATAAATACACATAAAGCCTTGTTACTACCTTTAAGTTTTTCAAATATAACACAGAATGGTTTCTAAGTCACAAAACGTAATAAGAGTAAACCCGTTGACCAAAGATTGAGAGCAACAGAAAAGCAACCGTCTAATAATCAGAGACATATATGTCCGGCGACTACTCTGGCCTCCGAATCCGCAATGCGAATGAACTTGAATTGAAACATACACAAACAGCGTACTCGTAGATAATATATCATTATGTAAGGCTGGTTAGATATGTTCTCTTTAGGCCTCCTTTATTCCACCCCGCCCCCTTTTTATACAAGCGAGGATTATCACGTGCGACAGGTAGCCTCTAAGCTGGACCGCAGAGGGCTGAAATAGCATTGGTTTGAGATTAAAACGAACTACTAGGTAGTGAACTATTATTTGCACTTACTACTCGGCAAACAAATTGCGTATATAAGTAGAAGAACGGAGGACCCGCGAATCTTAAAGCATACTGGAGGCACTCGGTCAGGAAACGGGATGCGACTCTTCGGGCAGAACGAAGGGCTTTCCATACCGATGGCGATTTGCCCTCTTGCACTAAGCTCAAAGCCTCTGACCTAAGCTCACTTGATCCGGAGGCGTTGACAGATATCATACCGGTACATTTTATCTCCGTAAAGCCTCAATGCTTCGGGCATCGCTTCGTTTCACATTCCAGAGGGCACCTGACTCAAAATATTTCTCAAGGACAAACTAGAAGGGCCACCCAGTCAGACTGTATGACTGTTGAGTATGAATCCGCGAGTAATGATTTCCAGCGGGTTTTGGTGTTGTGAGAACAAAAGAGGCTGGCTGGGCTGGGCCCCGCCCACTAGGGGTGTCTCTAGCTGCAGGCTGACGTTTTCGCGCGTCCCAGCGTCTTCAAAGCCTGATCTCGTCGCTTTCTCAGCGCTAAAATAAACCTTTTGCATATAAAAATACTCCCCCATATATGCCAGATCTACTCCACCATTACGAATACGTGTCCGTCTTCAAAGCCGAAGGCGAGTTTACGAGAGTGGGCTTTACAACTTGGCATCGTGTTTGCAGAGCCGGCACTTTTGAGAACGCGGCTTTGCGATTGATTCATAAGTAAGATTCGGCATCAGCTGGTCGTGTTTGTCACTTTCTAGGCACCGGTACACTTGCAAAAAGTTACTCATCTCAGTCGGTGAGGAGGTGTTATTGCGGCTCTTGAACTCTGTAGAGGCTCAGTCAGCCTTCGAAATCGGTTTTTGTTTAGCAAACAGCTGTTTTAGTCCGATGCAGGCCGGGGTAGGGCTGCAGTGGAGGGAGGGGTGGGCTTTCAGGGTATTCGCTGGGGAGGTCATGATTTGCAGACACTTGAACGCCTTTCTTTTTGCCTGGTCCTGGTAAGTCTTGTTTGGTGTCACTGGGTCATGCCTTGTTTTGGTCGAGTTGTCTATATAATGATTCTTTCTGTCGTCGGATTTCATTTTGTCACCAAGCAGTCAATTCTCTACTTGGACTTTTTTCCAGCACATATCATCCTCTCAAGCTTCAACACTGTCCACAAAAACTCACATCTAATCCTCAAACCTCTTATTCAAAAATATCAAAATGTGTCTCTTCTCTACTCCAAAGAAACACCATCGCTCTCATTACGTCGAGGAAGTAGTTATCGCTCCCCGCCCAGCCTCTCGTCATCATCACCACGGTGGCCATAACGGTCGCTCCTCTTATACCTCTGTCACCAGAACTACCAAGCCAACGAGTAGAGAGTACTATACAAGCGCTCCTCGAGCGAGCCAGAATAGCTACAGGCGTAGCGGGCCGGTCGTGGTTGAGCAGAGACGGAGCACTAGATCCTACCGATAGACGTGAGGCGGTTACAGGGGCTCTCGTCTTCATCTCATGCATGAGTAGCAGTTTTCAACATGTCTTGCGTCTGAGACGGTTGATAGCTGCGCAGATGGATGCTGATGGGGGTGGGTGGGGGTGATGATTAGGGATTGCCCTGGCCAGTGTTATGAAGTACGTTGGTATTGCGGGAGTTTGCGTGGAAATGCTGAGAATTAATGATCTCTTTGTACTCTTTACGTCCAAGTTGATAGCGAGGTTTTCTTCGTGGTATTCTTAAGCAAGGCGCGGAAGATAGGGGGAGTTCTCGTTATATTTTGATATTTCTGTTTTTCCTTCCTAATTCCTAATGTACTGAATAACGAGATTGATTCTATAAGGTAATAAATTATTCGCAGAGCAGAAGTTTATTTAGTCCAACCATGCACGAGTGGTATATTGTTCCAGAATGGCCGATGTCCTAAATTGGGACCAAAACAACCCCTTTCGAGGTTTACCACGTGGGTATCGATTATCATTTTGACATTGACTGGAAAAAGTCGCAGAATTTCAGAAGGGCTTAATGACTTTATTCCGAAGCTACATAAATATACCTTGAGTTGAGTCCAAATCACAATTACTTCTTTGATTGTTCTTGACTAGCCCCTTTCTGGATTTCAGACTATTGAGTTCGTAAAATTTACCTACGTCATGGCGCCCTTCCGCATATCCCGCCCAATTCAAAGGACTTCCAACATTATTATATACAAACATCCCGACAACCTTTAAAACTCTCAGAAATACGTTGCATACCTTACATACCTATATTATCCGACCAGGTATATCCTCAGACCCCGGTTTAAACCATCTCAAACTTACAAGGTATGTGACCATCCCTGCCGGCGCAAGGCTACCCATGACGTAGGCGCGGGGCTGCAAAACAATAACAATGGAAAGAGCTTCCTGGCTGATTGAATTTGCAGACCTCTTACTTTGAACAATCTCAACCGTAAAGATGTATGTACAACCATTTCCCCATGGCCACTTTCAATATGCTGCGCCGTCGAAATTCCCAAAAGTCACCCGACAAGAACGGCCCCTTGAAGCACCTGTTGGATTCCACCTATACTCTATTGATCACATACTAATTTGTGACTGCACAGGAACCGCTCACTCTCCATCCGTTCGAACAAGAACAGTTCCAGCTCCGCCCCCCGCCATGGCTTCAGCCTGAGCTCCCTCCGCGGCACCGTGCAGCCTGAACTCAGCAAGAAGCTCTACAAGCTGATCAAATCCGAGAACCACCTGATCGGGCACCACGAAGCCGCAGGAAAGGAGCGCCTCTCCATCGCGACCCAGCTGTCCGACTGGGGCGAGGCCACCAACGACGATGCCATCAGCGACGTCTCTGACAAGATTGGAGTTCTGCTGTCGGAGCTTGGCGAGCAGGAGGATCTGTATGCGCATAACATTGATGATAGCAGGGCTATCTTGAAGGCGATTCGGAATACCGAGAAAAGCGTGCAGCCTAGCAGAGACCACAAGGCAAAGATTGCGGACGAGATTGCAAAGTTGAAGCTCAAGGAGCCGGAGAGCACCAAGTTGGTTACGTTGGAGCAGGAGCTTGTCAGGGCCGAGGCAGAGAACTTGGTCGCTGAAGCTCAATTGACCAATATTGTACGTTCATTCTATCATCCCACGCTTCTCTGCTAACCTCACTTTAGACCCGCCAGAAGCTGAAGGAAGCATACGCCGCGGAGTTCGCAGCAACGATCGAGCGTGCCGAGAAGCAGATCATCCTCGCGCGCCACGGCCGCCGTGTCTTGAACCTCCTTGACGACACCCCAGTCGTGCCAGGCGATGTGCGTCCCGCCTACGACGGCACGAACCAAGCGCGCCAAATCCTCAATGACGCCGAAGACGATCTCAAGGACTGGACGGCGGAATTGGAAGATGTCCCTTCGCACGCCAACCTCGATCAGGGCTTGATGCCGGCGTCGCGTCAGCGTACTTCTGAGTCTATTGTTGGTGACGAGTCTGTTGCTGCTGAGCCGGCTACTAACACGGACGGGAGCAGGATCAGCAGCGGCGGTTCTATCACAACCGGCCCAGCGTATACGCAGAGTGAGACTTCTCAGGTTGCTTAGGAATACTTTTATTTACGGGAGCGGCTTGCGGCGGGATTGATTGTATGAATTTGTATGACGGGTTGGTTTCGTTCTGAGATTCTTTGGCATGGAGCTGGATTTGGACTGGGTGTTGCGACACGCGTGAAGTTGGGGAAGTACCCTGAGTATGCGTACGATTCATTGGTTTCTTTGTTTGGGTTCTCGATGTGTATTTGCACCGATTCACTTATTCCAAAATGATTTATAACTTCAAAACGAGTGCAGTTGTTTATGTCAAGGCATGAAGCGTGATATCATGCAATAATGGACAAGGCTTTATGCTCCTTTGACGGGTATAGTAGAGAAAATGTCACAGAAGAGGCAGAGATTTTGAGACGATTGAGACTGTTAATGCTGATATGACTAGATAGATAACTACAACACATACCTGAATCTCGGGCCATCATTCTCATACCCTGCTCCCTCCCCTCCCTCCGCACTTCCACCACCCGTCTTCCCATCCCCACCCATCCTCTCTACCCTCCCATACTTCCGATCCAGCACACCATTCTCCCAGCTCAACAAGGCCCTCAACGCGCACGCCAAAAACGCATTGAACAGCATAAACCCCGCACAGACCCACATGCCCATCCGATAATACGGGGCGTCTTTCGCCGGGAAAACCCTCGTGCCAAGCAGCGGTCCACACTGACCTATCAGATTCAGCATCGCAATACCCGCGCCGCGCTTCGTATCACTGCCCTGGTTATTCAGCACCCAGGGCAGGATATTGCCGATGGCGGGGAACACGCCGGCGGCTGCTAGGTAGACGCCTGCGTAGCGGGGGGCTGTGGCGGTGGTCGTTGCGAGGATGATGTAGCCGGTTGCGCCGAGGAGGGACAGGGCGAGGATCGTGAGGCCGCGCTGCTGCGTGCGGTCTGCTAGGTGGGTTGTGGCGAGGACGAGGAGGAAGGAGAGGAAGTAGGGGGGTGCGGAGAGGGCTTGCGCGTGCAGGGCCTTGAAGCCCATGCTGGTTAGGATGGTGGGGAGGAAGACGGGGAGGGAGGAGAAGGAGACGTTGAGGGAGAAGTACATTAGTGCTGTTAGGTAGTTCTGGGTGGGTGTGGGTGTGTTAGTCTGCTTGTCTGTTTGCGTAGGTAGGAGTGGATGTTGTTGGATGGAGGAGGGGGAACATGTACTTTTAGATCTAACAGCGCGGCGCCGATGTCCTTGAAATCTACATGCCCTACTCGATGGGCTTCCCCCGACCCAACTTGCCGCAGCGCTCGGGCGCGCGTGACTTCCTTCTCCTCTTCGGAGAGGAAGGATGCCTTTTCCGGACTATCGGGCATGAGGAAAAACGTCGCGACGCCAGCCACGATACTCGGCAGTCCTTCGACCAGGAACAGGAGTCGCCAGTTCGCAATACGCGGGGAATCATCACTCGTAATGCCGTATGCCAGGGCGCCCGCGAAGCATGTCGCTAGCGGGGCAGCGCTTAGGAAGATACCGCTGCGGAATCCGAGTTCATGGCGCAGGTAGAAGAAGGAGAGCAAGTAGGGGATTCCGGGGCCGTAGCCGGCTTCGAAGAAGCCAAGGAAGAAACGGGCGGCCATGAGGCCCGAGAAGGATGTTGTTGCGCTTTGGAGGGTTGCGGTTAGGCCCCAGCCTAGCACGCAGAAGGTGGCCCAGATGTGCGGGGGGATGAGCTTCCACATTAGCGCGAACCATTCGAAGAGGATGTAGGAGATGTAGAAGATTGTTAGGAGCCATTGATATTGGGGGGACGTGAGGTGGAGGTCGGTGTCTAGACCGGCGATCTTGGCGTTGCTGAGGGGAGTTAGGGATTGATTGAGTGATTCAGTTGAGATGAATGTTTTGAAATCTTGCATACCCAATGTTTGATCTGTCGAGGTAGGCTAGGAGATCTGGAGTCTTGGTAAGTAGGCAGTTTCTAAGCTTGGAGTTGAGATTGTAAGTACAGAGGACGAAGGCGAGGGAGACTAGTCTTTTATCCAACTTTCGCACAACTCTCTTTTCAAGCGCTGGGTCGATGTGTGGAGGGCTTGTGGGAAGAGGAAGGGGGGTTTGGTTTCCATTCTCCATAGTTATGACTTCTGCCTTTTCCGGATCATTGGGTGCTGCAGTACTGATTGCAGTTGAATCCTCGACTGGATGCTCGACTGACGAAGGCTCGTCCTTCTTAAACTTGGAAAGGAAACCCATTTTCGTATTTGGTACTCATGAATCGTACTGGAGAAGGCGAAAATGAAGCAAACGCAGAAAACAGAAAAGAAGCAAAATGTATGAGGGGAAACAATCAAAGCTTCAGGCAATCAATAATGGACAGGACAAAATATCTTACTCCGGACTATGTGTGACCATTTTTGCAGATCTTCTACTATTTGGATCAATAATGGGAGCTTTACCCCGCCAAAGCTAAAGCGTGTTGCATTTTAATGGCCGAGAGGAAGGATACTTCCTTCTATTCACATATTGCCTCTGCGGATGTGAACCTTTGCAAATATGAGTACCTAGAAATGGGAACCTCTACTCTCTTGTATCGTGACATTTGTGGGGGACCTGGTACGATATATTGCGAATGAGCCAGCCGGCAATTAATTGCGGGAGGGGGGGGGAACAGGATTGCCGGGAGGATGAAGATCACAGTCGCCGTTTCGTAAGCTCGAGGTCGGGTAGTCTTTGAGTACGAAGTAGATCTCCGGCAATAACTTATAAGCTTACGTCTGTATTGACCAAAAATCAGCAGTGGATCTGCCTGCGATTGCGTCTCCGAGAGAAAAATATCGAGGCGGTGCTCTGGTTTTATATGATTCTGTATAGGAAGGGACGACATGGAACGTAAAACTACGGTACCTAGGCTACGCTAGGCTAGGTATGAAACATTGGAAGAAATGTTTTCCCAAGATTACAAATCATGTGATCCACTACCCCAGTTTCCAGACTCGGCTTTAAATGCCGCGCGGGATACTTATTCGCGGCGGATAGATTGACCACGAATACGACGCTGGCGCAAACTAATAAGACGCGATGACGTTTGGACCAGGGACAGCCGCAATCAAGTGCATCTTTGCACGTCCTGCATTGAAGACACTTTCACTTGCAGTGGGGAAACTATTCCCATATCCGGTGGGTGCGTGATTCGATGGAAGTCCTGATGGTCACAATCAACAGTCAGACAGCTCAGCACAGCACAGCTTCCAAGTCAGGGCAGGGCAGGGCAGGGCAGGTATAGTACACAACTGATTCATGTCAAGTGACAGACTGACACTCTCTTTCCCTTGTCTCGTGTCTGCTAGCTATATATAAGTACTGTAGGTACGAGTACGAGATTATACTACCAGCTGAGCCCTCCACGCCCACGCCAACGCCAACAAAGAAAGAGAGACAGAAGAGAAAAGAAAGCTTCACGGAAGAAAGAGGAAACCACCACCACTACCAATAATCCGCTCCCTACACGCCACCAATAGCAAGCACCTCATTCCCGAGTCCAACAGAACCCTGTCCTGGTGCTCGGCCAACAAAAATCATCCCAGTCCAGTGTTCCGGGTTGCCATCATATTTTTCAGGTCATTGTTACAGGTGCAGGTGCTTGTCTGTCAACAAAAGCAAAACTCTTCAGCAGACAATACTCGGCTGGATCACTACAAGCAAGCCTCGGAGAGAATATTGCCAACACTCTCCAAGACATTCTCGTCACACTCACGCTCACACTCCCACTCCCACGTACGCTCCACTCCACGTACTTGTACACATCTAGTATACGAGTAGGCAGACTACCCCTCGAGAAGGCATCATTTCACGAATCTCTTACGGCATACTTGCACTACACTTAGTTCCCGGGCCACACCGTTTCCCTCGCACACGGTACGGTCTCTACAGCGTCAAACCTAGTTCTACTACACTACTGCCCGCTTCCATCCACGTAACCTTCCCCGCTACGCCCCTACACGAAACAAACATACCCGACTCTACCTCCGTACTACACGAACTGCGGATCTGGAATCCCGGTTTAGGTTCTGGGATCTAGCATCTGGAATACAGTACCGAGTTGGAGTATTCCGCCACTTCTTGCTCCACTCCGCAACTAGGATACCATAACATAACACAACATTAAATAACTGGGTCTCTTTAGTTCAAACCGGCAGGAATGGCAGACAGTGAGTACACCCATGATTTCTTCCCTGACTTCCCCTCAGGCTCTTTCAATCTCCTCCCATTGCAAAAGCTCGCACAGAAAGCAGCTATGGAGGCAGCTAAACCTCGCGCTCGTCTGCAGAAGTCTACGCAGAGGTCTACACGCTTGCAACGCCTTTCCACTTTCCTACCCTCTCTCAGTACCAGTCCAACCAGATCTAAGCATTCAGAAGGTACAAAGCCATCACCTCTCCCCGCCATTTCAGCACCACTACCCATCGATATATATGCCTCTTCGAGTCGACCACCCTCGAGAGATGCTCCCCTGGCCCCCTGGCAAATCTTTCAAGCCAATAACGATAACGACAATGACAATGAAAATGACAAAGACATGCCGCCTCCACCAGCTCCGCCGCAGAAACGACTGCAGAAGTCAGACTCCCCCAATCGACTGAAATCCCTCCCGAATGTACGATCCGGCTCACCTTCTCGTAAACTCACAACCCCGTCCTCCGGGAAAGCCTCTCGAAGAAATTCCATCCTTGCTATGATTCCAGGTCAGAATCGATCAGTCTCATCTCCAGTCGGCAGTCGTCCAAATTCGGTTCAATCGGGGGAAGATGATGAAGCTGCGGGATTCAAGACACAGAGGAAAAGCTTTCTCCTTGGTGGTAGCAGGTCAAGGTCTAGAAACACGTCAAAAGAGATTGGGGAGGAATTCGGTACAGGCGCGTGGGTTAATGCTGGAGAACACAAGATCGACTACAATCTGGCTCTTTTAACAGGTGGTGAAAAGGTAAACACCCTTTGCATTGGGAGGTAGATATAATCATGTTAACTTGACTAGGTCCCAGAACTATGGGAAGACAACGCCGACACGTTCATCTACCTATTTCCCCAAGCCTCTGGCCTAGGACCGTCATTCAAGGTCCCGTCAATGACATTATCCTCGTCCGTGATCCTAATGCATTACATCAATGCCCAACAAGTCAGTAGCCCAGCGACAGGGAGACCTAGTGGTCAAAATTCCGATGGAAGAAATAGCCTATCCGTAGAGGACGCCGCTCGGCATTTGTCACTGCGCGGTCCAGCTTCACCCCCTTACACACCAAAGACCAGCATCTCGGACATCCAGTCGAGCTCAGATGGTCGCCCAGACTCATTAGAGTCATTCCTCGACGCGCCTCGAGAAACCCATCTATACTTCCCTACAGGCCTGACCTCCGACGGCTCCCAGCTATCCCCAAACGACATACAAGATCTCGTCGACATTCGCAATCTATTTGCTTTCCTCACCGGGCAGCCACTTGTCGGTACCAAAACCCGTCCCAGCACATTTAGGATATTCCTGCAAGTCGGAGCGATGTTGAGCAAGTTCCAGTTCACCAACTTAGATGGGTCTACGTTTGGCGAGTCGGCTTCAGCTAGCTTCGAGTTCTATCTAGAAGAATTGAAATTGTCTGATGTGAGAGAGAGTCGGGAAAAAACCCTTGAAGGTATTATTCTCGGTGAAGCGATGCGGTCCGGAGACTTGTATACCGAAGCCTTTACCCATGCCGTCGGAAAATATACAGCTGTCATGCAGAAAGACTATCCCTTGGTGTCTGAAATATCGAAAAATACTCGAGTCAATCTAGAACGTGCACATCAAGAATTAATCACACGACAGCATTCTGCGAGTGCCGCCCTGACCGATTTCAACTTTTATTCCCTTTTCGCTGGCATTGGGTCCTCAGCAACGAGCGAGGAATCCAAATTTGTCCGGTTCAAGGCTTGGAAATTGAATTTTGCGTCCATGAAAAGACATGTCATGTCATATCTCAAAGACGTCCATGGGCATTGGCCTCCAAAGGCGAGCCACAAGAAAGGTCTAGCAGGCGGTCTTAATCGAATGGTCCTCAAAGGGCTATACTCTGATATGTGCAGTCTGTACGAGTTGAGAGCAGATCGAGAAGCAATCACTACCCGCTCCATGGATGCATCTGACGACAGTCAAGTAACCAACGTCAGTCCCACCAGCACAGCTTTGCGAAAGCTCCTCTCTGAATTCGACCGCTCGTCACCACCCGTCATGCCTCCAATCCCATTCGATGTACCTTTAGTACCATCAATTGCGGCGATTGATCCAACATTCCAGAGAATGTCACCAAAGAAGCAACACAAGGCATCTACCCGAAAATTAAAAGAGCATGAAGTCGCCCTCATTCTCGCCAAGACCCACAATGCGGATTGCAACTACAAAACACCTTTTCTAGAGGAATACAAAATATTTGAAGAGAAAGAGGGAAAGGGAAAGAATGCGCAGGAACTTGCTGATATGGTCTATGGCCACTGGCTTTTCATGTACGCAGTCATTCAATCACTGCCTATGCTCGTTATCGATGCTCCAGGCCTTCGCTACACGGGAGGGGTTGAATATTTCCTCTGCATGTTGCCAACCGGAAAACCTTGGGTAGAAGGATCTGATACGGCACTCTACAGCGTTCACGGCGGTGCTATAGTCTCTATGCCTAATCACGTCATTGAAGCTGGCCCCGAAGCTGTTTACCGTCGCTCTCATTGTTGGACTGTGGCAGAGCAATGGATTTCTAAGAGTGAAGGCAAATACGTTGAAGTCGATGAACGGCCATCGTTCCTCCCAGAGATTCTGTCACCACTCGCGCCCCCACCAGGTTTTGGAGGCATTCTTGACATTGAACCCCCGACTGCGGGCTCACCTGGTGGATCTCCTACGATGTCTCCCATGTCTCCCATGTCTCCCACCGAACGCGGCCGAGATTCGCGCAAGTTTAGTGGTGCACAGCTCGGTGCAGATTTAGGGGCCAATTTAGACGCGGATGAGCGAAGGAGTCGCAGCAGGCAAGCTCAACGCAAGAGCATCGCCTTGGGTCTTGAGCGCTTGCCTATTCCTGCCGGACATGAGACCTTTAACTCGAGACCGGGTTCTAGTAGAGGAGCGAGTCCTGGTGGGTTTAAAACTCAGAGTCCGGTTGGATTCTACAACGGTGGTAATGGAAGTATGGCTCGTCTCGATACACCTCCTGATAATAGCGGTGCTACATTCAATGATATCTTGGGACATATCGAGGACCCTAAGCAGGCCAAGGGAAAGAAGGGGAAGAAGTAGAGGGGAGCACTGCTATTGAGATGCTGATTTTGGGCTTGTTTGAGTATGAGGTGCTCATTTATGAGAAGTGGATTGAAATTAATAGGATGAGATACTTCAAAATGGGTTATTATTTGATTTGGTTTCTTTTTGAACCAAATAGATAGATGGATGCATAGCGCGGCGTTTTTCTTTTCGTACCTATACTATAATAATGCATGCTTGGTGGGGTATATATAGATGCATACCTTTGCCTATATGAAGATAGATATATGATAAAGACTTTAATGACAAGCCCTCTATTTTTACCATCAATGTCATCGTCTGTTTGTATGGCTTGGCTTGGCTTTGGAACGAGAAAAGGATAAATAGAAAAGTCATTTTCGAGAGCAAGACAGTGTAGATGGAAAATATACATCTATCTATCTATCTGCATGATAACAAAAAAGCCGTACACACACAGCCAGCTATATGTACCCTTGATGCATTTATGGATGTAGAATGAACATATATATACGTAATGCAATATAACAAAGAAGTCAATACTCCAATACACCGAATAAGACACCCACCAATCAATAATCTGATACAGTATATACAACCACAAGTAAGATCGAGACCCAGTGGCCAGCATGGTAGGTATAGTATAAAAGATCAGCTCAGCTCATAACACATTCATTACCCTCCGTTCATCTAGACGCTTTCATCTCAACGCACCGGATCCCAGCCCTGCTGTGCCGCCCTCCCACCACCAGGCGTCAACACAGCTGGTGCAGGTGCGGAACCACTCGTGTTGATTGGAGCTGGCTGGTAGGCTTTGTAGCCTGGATACGCGGGCTCTTGCGGTGGTGGGCTTCTGCTGGCATAGGATGGTGGTGCTGTTGAGCCAACGTATGTTTCGTATTGGCGCTGTGGTGGAGGGTTGTAATTATCTCGGCTTGCTTGTCTCGTGGGAGGAGCATAGTCTTCTCTGCCCCCTTGTCTCATTGGCTGTCTCCCAGACGAAGATCCGTATGACATCTGTTGGTTCTGCATTGGCCTTTGCTGAGGCGGAGGCGTAGGTCTTGAGTATGGCTGCTGTGCACCTGTACCAAAGTCGAATCCGGCAGCATTAGTAATTGGTGGGCTTTGCATGCGGTTTGGAGGTGGGCCACCAGGACCACGAGAAGGACCTCTTGACGGGCCTCGGGATGGACCGCGTGGAGAGGGATTGTTATTGTAGGGTTGGTCGTCGTACGACTGCTCTGAGAATTGTCGTCCAGGGTTCAAAGGCTGTGAAGAGTCAGAAGAGTACTGTCTAGAAGGTTGTGGAGGGAATGGGCGTGTATTAGGGCCATTCGAGAATTGCCGTTGGGGTGGTGGTCGATCGTATCCATTTCCACCGGCTGCCGCGCCGGAATATGCATCGTCGTACTCAGGTCGGGGTGAGCCTGTTCCATAACCACGACCTTGACCGTTCATATCTCGAGGGGGTCCATATCCCGGTCCTCGTCCACCTCTTCCTGGTCCCGGAGAAGGAGATCCTCTATATCCTCCAACACCGTTGAAACCATTCTGTCCATTTTGCGGCCCCGGAGGAGATCCTCTATACCCTCCATTATTGAAACCATTTTGTCCATTTTGCGGCCCCGGAGGAGATCCTCTATACCCTCCATTATTGAAACCATTTTGTCCGTTTTGCGGAGAGTATGTATTGGGAACGCCAGCATAACCATTTCCGCCAACGGCCTGTCCTGATTGGGAAGCAAATGGACTTGGGCTCGGAGGATTGTTATTGGCCGTCATAAGAGGCATACTTTGCCCGGTAGTAGGATCCAGATGTCCCAACTCGACACCATCCTTCTCATCGTCCACGACATGTTTCTTCGAAGCAGAATCCCAACTCGGCATAGGAGGCAATGCATCTTCACTTATTGCAGTCTTGGGTTCCACAAACAACCCGTTCTTCCCAACTTCAAACTGCGCGTATTGAGGAGCTTCTGGACGTGCGGGGAGAGCACCTCCCATCATCGGCGCAGGGGGTTGGTATCCCTGGTGTGGAGGCGCGGGCGGAGGAGCAAAAGGGTCGTCGAGGTGTTTATGCGGTTTGTTCTTCTTCCCATCACAAGATCCACCACAGCAATCGCAGCATTTCAGGAATGAGAAACAGGTGCAGCAACAGGACATGCCACAGCACGCACACCTGACTATGCATGCTATGATGGAGACGAGTATTAGGGAGACGACAATGATGACAGCTATCACAGGCCACTTGCAGTAGGTGGCCGCCATGCAGTTGTCCCAACTGCTAAATGAGTTTTTGACATTACTGACGCTGTCGGTGACCGATCTCTTTCCAAGCAGAGAACTAAACACAATGTTCCCTATCTTGTCCCCCACACTTCTCCCCACACTTCTCTGCATCGCTTGTGTAATGTGCGGCATATGGGCGGTTAGGCGCAGAAGAAGGTATTCGCAGAAGCAACGAAATTGCAATCGAAGGAGGTCCTCTCCACAATCGCAGCCGTATTGTGAATCACAAATATCGTAGAATCACTTTCGATTCCCCATGTCCTTCTTTCAGCGGTCAAAGCAAAGCCCAAATCCCGTTGTGTCGATCGTAATCCCTCGCACTTGTACTATTCGTGTCGCTTGACCGTCTAATGCGTCGCAAATATTGTCGTTCCAATAACCCGCCTGAGTCTAAAGGTCGGAATAGATCAGATCAGGTCAGATCAAACCATAAGAAAGAATAATAGACCAGTTCGTGTTTGTCGCATTTGTACGTAGGTGAAACTGGTGTTGAACAGGGCTGTGCTGCTCGAAATAGCTCTGCTGTGTGATACTGTACGACGCAAGTCTTCGGACTGCAATGCAATTGGTTAGAAAGGAGTGACTGTAGTTGGATTCCCTTTGCAGAGCAGAATGAAGAACAAACGAGAAAAAAGAAGGGAAGGAGGGTATCACGTCGGTGAGTGATTTCGATGTGCATATCCCCCTGACTCTTAGTGGTTGAGGTGATGCTTAGCGTCCTTCAGATGGATTGGAGGTCACGTGGTGCTGAGAACCCTGCAAGCGTCTGGCTCTACTTTATTCCTTGCAACCTTATACTGTAAGAAATGGTCTCCAAAATTGTTTATTTATTATTTACGGCATCGCTAGGTATATATTGCGTTGCCGTAGATGTGTCCTAATCCCTTGAATCAGAAAGCCTCCACCGATCGCCTTCCCCTATACCTTCCTCCAAGAATATATGCCTCCTTAGGGGCTATAAAAAACAGCGATAATCCGTACCAAGTTATGGAGAGAGCAGGAGATGATTGCAGGCTTATACTTTCTGCACCACCTCGGCTTGAATATAACTTTTCTCTTTTTCCCTTTAGGTATCTTAGTTATTTAGATCTTTCAGGGATAGCTTTTTAAGAGTTTAAGAATCTATTCAGTTTTATTCATCTATGCTCTTCAAGGTTGCAGCAAGATAAATTATGCCATAGTATGCCGCCGACCAAGACGGCACAAGCGAAACATATACCACAGGAAAATCGCTTTCTATTCTTCTCTCTTCAGTGCGTCTATGATCCAAGATTGTACCCCCTTGAAATCATTACGCACTCGACGGTTCTAGCATTGGCACGTTCCTGTTGTCTTCTACTCCTCGCGGTTTGCTACGGAGTGCTTCCAGAGCGCGTACGGATTGCTTGGAGTGCCTGTACGGATTGCTTCCAGAGCGCGTACGGATTGCTTAGAGTGCCTGTACGGACTGCTTCAAAGCATCTCAGAGTGCTTCCGGATTGTTCACGGATTGTATACGCATCAAACCGAACCCCTTAACCCATCCTCTATTTCTGTTCAGCTTCTGACTAGCTTCTATCTAGCCTCAATCCAGCGCCAGTCCACGACAAGTCATCATGGCCGACAATCAGAAGAAGGTTTGAACTCCAATCTGCTCACTGTCTACTATAGCTAATAGTATAAAGGTCTCAAAGCGCCATGGCCGCACGTACTTCTTGAAGCTGCCCAATGGAGAAGCCGGCACCCAAATCAACATCGTGGAATACAACAGGCTATATCGAATTGATCGTACCCTTGTCTTAACAAGAGCTCCACCCCCTGAGCTTCGAGCTAAAAACATCTCACAACCCAACACGAATCAACCCATCGATAATACCATAAGAAGGCCGTCACAACCTTCTTCTTACTCTCCTCAAGGGCGCCCTATACGCGATGACAGGTTAGTTATAGGAGTTGGATAGAGTCAAGTCCCAGACTAACTCTCAAAATAGATACTCTAGTCGTCTCCAAGAGTCTGCATATAGAGACTCGAGAAGACCAGAACGTGAACCCAGGGGTCGTTCTCGCTCTCCCTCTCCCTCTAGAGACTCAAGAAGACCAGAGAGGGACTCATGGAGGCCAGAACAAGAACCTAGGGGTCGTTATCGCTCTCGTTCTCGATCTAGAGCCTCAAGAAGACCAGAGAGGGACTCGAGGAGGCCAGAACGAGAATATAGGGGTCGTTATCACTCTCGTTCTCGCTCTCGCTCTCGCTCTAGAGACCGGAGAAGACCAGAGAGGGACTCGAGGAGATCAGAGCCTACATATCGCTCACAGAGCCCACGAATCGCCAACATGTACAGGTCTCAGCAAAGAAGACCTGGCTCGTCTAGCCCCCATCACGAGCCCATCAGCTATAGGCCCACCCGCAAACATTCTCGCTCGCCTAGAAACCGTCGCGAGTCACCCAAGAGACACGATGATCATTCGAGGCCTGCTCGTCACAATCAAAGAGTGTCAAAGGAGCCAAGTACGAGACCCGCCAAGGAGATGACTTCCCCTGAGCCCAAGGCTAAGGACATAGAGACCACCCCCGTCAAACAGGAGTTCTTTAGTCCTCCGCAGTGGGCTGAGGACATAGAGACCACCCCCGTCAAACAGGACTTCTTTAGTCCTCCCCAGTGATCTCGATGTGCATATCCCCTGCCTGCCCTTGGAACCTTTAGCGCTCTTGTTGGACTTAGCTGCTTACATGAGCGTCTGTGGGATGGAACTCTTCATCTCGATTAGCTCGTCTTCACTCAATATACACATTTATATGCCCATCACGTCTAACCTAGCTGTGACAATTATTATCGTCCTCTCTGTGACCAGCATTGTCCAACAGCTCTTCAGATGTATTAGAAGTCATGTGGTGATGATATGGTCGTTATAGTAGTACTGTGGCTGCGGCGTAGCGTCCCGAGGAGGCAAGTGAGGGGGTTGTGGCGGGGCCACGCGTCTGACTGAGTATAGATGTGAGGGGAGAGGATGAGGGAGTTCAACTTTGGTATTGGAGATGGAAACGGATGTAGGTGATAAGCTTGCAGAAATACGAGTTCTAGTAACGTCGAGTCGGGCTGTGAATAATGGTAGGAATGCAATGAGGCAGAGTTGAAATAAGCTGACGTCAAAAGAGGCTTAGATATACGAGGCTGTATATTTGACATAACTGTATTGTTTCTATGACGAATCAATAAAAGCGCCTTGGCGGAGAGGAAGAACTCTTATTCAACCTCTGGACCAATTCTCACTTCCCTAACCAGGTTCCTATTTACCAGTTCCTTTCGACGTCCTTTGCAACGCCCGCATCAAACTCCCGTAATCCAAACATTAGGTATCGTAATTAATTCCTTGCATGACTCCATCTGGCATTTCACCAGCTTGGCCTCATCTCTCCTAGTGAATAATCCCATCGCCTTTTCCTGGTGGTGGTCCCATTGGCGCTTCATAAACCTCCCTCTGCGGATGCGTATACACGTTCTGCGGCTGTTGCAACTCGATTCCCCCATTGCCCTGCCCGTGGTGACCATAGTATCCATCATTTGAATTGAAAGTCGTGCCCGTAGCTTGATTCGCCACCGGGTGGGCGGAATATGGCGGCGCAGGTCCTCCATAGTAGCCATTTTGCTGTTGATTGTATTTCGGAGCGGGCATCCAGGCAGTTCCGTACATTGGAGGGGCACCCATGCGGCGGCGGCGACGGTTGTTAAAGCATCTGGAGACAAGTTAGGGATAAGCTGAGCAAGAAGATGGAAGAGACATACGAGAAAGTGAGCGCGATGAAGACGAATGCTAAAACGATTACAACGAGCGCAACCCACCGGCCCCAACTATTCCATGATGAATACGAGTCACAGTTGCCGTCGCCATCATCATAATAATCGCAGCTGGTTCGAGGTGTTAGCATAATTCGTCTACAGATGAAGTATGAAGAGGGAGTGTCAGGGATGTAGGACAGGAACTTACTTGTATCTGCTAACCAGCGAGTGCTCTATAGTCGGTGCCATTGCGAGATGAGCTTATGTGGTGAAGATGATGTTGATGGCGTGGATGCGGGGTTTTGTTCAAGTGGCAAGGGATGAAGTGATTCCTTTGTCCACGAAGCTCTTTAAATGCGCTAGCGTGAGTGGCAAGCAGATGACAACAATAATCGCCGAACAATTGAATGTGATGCAGAGTCGAAAAAGAGGCAGATTGTAGTATTAAAGTATTATTATCTCACGGAACCTGTAAGACGGAGAACGGAAGCTTTTGAGCTGAGCTTCGTGATAAATCAGGGAGGCTGTGTAGGCCGGGATCACCTGTCACTGGCTGTCAGTCGGCCTGTTTTGCGAAAGGTGGCAATAACAGGTACGAGTACTCGTAACTTTCTCAAGAACAGGGTTCCGGATACTTCGGTATAGACCCGTGGAATGATTTGACGTCTCCTCAGCTCTGCTTTAAAAAGATATTCCTGTCTGGCGTCTGGGGCATTCTACTATAATAAATCCATCTGCCGCGGATTAGCCACGCCAAGAGTTATAATTATTCGGAGCTACGGAGTAGATACGAGTATACCCACCGTAAAGAGTATCTAAAGACCATATTAATATATACGAAGTAGGTCAGAGATACCGCATTTATAGTGTCATTGAGTCTACAGGCGGGGGCGGGGCGTGGCGGGTCATAATTCCAGTCTGCAATCAATGCCGGTCTCCGCACTCTCTTTGCAGCATAATTACAGTAATAACTACCTCGTAAGGGCAGGAAAGAGGCCCATAACCAACCCTCCATCTCATCCAGCTCTCTCATCATCAAACTGATCCGCGCTGCCATGCCATGCCATCTCACCCTGCGTCTTCCTCGTCGTCCTCTCCAGCTGGTCGTCTACGGACATCCAATCAAATCGCCGTCTCGCTGCAAGGGCTGACCATGCTGTTGAGAATTGCCAGCGCATCAAACGTGGGTGGTTTGTGCGCGCGAATCGTAGCCTCTAGTAAAATCGTAGTTCCTGCTGTTGAATATTCTGGTCTTTTTCCAATCCTTCATGCTCTTGCTTGCTTGCTTGACACTTGCTACAAGTCAATGGAAATACTTCATGGTCGATACACTTTTGAGGGAAATCGAATGTTAAGATACCCCGCAAGATCTCCTCAGATTCTCCCACCATAGCCCTGTGCCGATGTCCTCGGAGTCCACCCACCAAACCAGGGCGCCCTCAGAGCTGGGCAAGCATTTTTGTCAGGCGAACCTTTTCATTACGACAGACAGGCATCGACTAATATGAGTACGCCTAATTACAAATCCAGAGACCCAAAAGGTCTTTCAAAGCTCAAATGTCCACTCCAAACCACCATTCCTCGTTACGCTTCAATGCCAGAGTCAATCAAGAACATAAGAAATCGAGCAGTCGTACAAAGCCGAACTGTCTATGCCAAACAAAACGCAAGGTCGTCAAAGGTCGTCTTATCGTTCCAAGGGCAGGGCATGAGTAGAAGAGGAACCTGAGCAAGGCAGGTAAGGACAATATCCTTTTACTCCAGGAAAGCCGGACGCCATGCCATGTACCTGGGTCGGCCGAAAAACGAAAAAGTGGTGCGGTGAGCTCATGAAATATAAGTGGTCTTTGCAGGCCAAAGAATGAGGTTTTTATCTTTCCATCAGGTCGTTATCGTTCATCATTATGAATGCTGGAGCTTTCCAGTGGTTGTATGTGCAGATTACTCGGAGTCGAGAGGTCTACTTGCTGGCACGAGCAACCAGCCATTGCAAGACAGCATCCAGGTTTGTTTCCTCTTTTGCGCTTATGCCATAACAGCTTACTTCACGATGAGAAATGCTCTTGAGATCCAGTTCATCAATCAACTCGTCGACGGATAGTTTTTCTTCCAGATCCGATTTGTTACCGAGGACGAGCAAGGGGATACCGTCCAAAACGGGCTTCTCGAGGAGCAGATGCAGTTCATCCTTTGCGATAGGCAATGCTTCTGTATCGGCCGAATCGACGATAAAGACGATGGCGTTCACACCTCGGCAGTATCGCTCCCACATTGACCGAAAGCGTGGTTGTCCTCCGAGATCCCAGCATTTAAGCGTCACATGGCCCTTTTGTACGCGCTTCATATTAAATCCAACAGTTGGGATGGAGCTGTGAAGCAAGAAATCAAGGTCAGCGGGAACTCTTCGGAGGAGTGCGAGGTGGGGTCGCGGGATTCGCAGAACCCCACTCCAACCTGATTGCGATTGCGATTCGAAGGGGGGGTTGTACGACGGCAAGGGGAAACATACTCGAGGGTGAACTCTCCGCCCTGTGCATCACGGAAGAGTCAGTATTGGTATGCGGATGGTGTGGATGATTCTTACCGCCAGTACTCGCAACAGCGAAGTCTTGCCAGCATTTTGGAGGCCGATCATCGTAATATCCATCTCCGTCGCCCTAGCATCAACCGACTCTGGTTAGCATCATGTATAGTACATGGCAGCAAGAGCAGATCTGGAGAGGATATATATTTTTTGTTTCCTGCAGATCGTCGCAGATTCTGCCGTCTACATTGACCCAGCAACAAAACTCACCAGAACAAGCGCAGCAGCCAATCATACACGCGTTTGAATAGTCCAGCCATGATCATATCATTCGCATGAGAAGGTTTTGGTATGGTATATGTATGGTACAGTGTGTTTGCTCGTTTGCTGGCAGAAGAGTTGCGTGATTGTTGCGCAAAGCTAGGTAAAGTAAGGTAGAGTGATGCGGGGCAGCTGTTGGATCTGAAGCTATGCGATGCGGATGCAAGAGCTCGCCCGATAGAGATAGGGTTCGAAGGTCGAAATAGAATATAATAGAATAGATAGCTCGGTGCTCTTCGCAAATGTAGAAGTGTTGAAACTAAACGGAGCTGTACGGTGTAGCCAGACCAGGTAGCGTAGCGTAGCGTAGCGTAGCGATTGATCGCCTAAAGCGGCTTGTGACTTGGCTAAGCTTTGGGCTTTCTGCCGCGACCAGCAAGCCAGGGTTTCAATATAATATAACGACCTTGGGATGCAATGAATAGGGTAGAATGGGGGGAATAGAATAGAAGAGATGGGATAGGATAGGATAAGATAATATGCAATGGGAAGACAGCAAAGATGAGATTAGAGAGGGAAGAGGGTATTTGATATGTGGTAACAGGAGAGAAAAGTAAGATAGCACAACAGCAGATGACGAGCGATATCAATGTCAATACCAGCTCCATACCCTAGCCTAGGCTGACGGGTCTACTGAGTCTACTGCCCAACTTGATTGAAGAGCTTTACTAATTCAGTCAGTAGCTCGAGCTCTAGCTTTGGGGTCGAAACTGGGGAACCTGGGCGGGAGGGGGAGGATGGAGATGGGGAGTTGAAGTGGAAGTACAAGCAGAAAGGTGAGGTATGCGGACGTAGGTATCAGTACCTAGTAGACCTCTCCTTTATGATGCCATACTTAAGTACTCTACTCTACTCTAGTCTAGTCTCTTCGTACAAACAAGATCTTGCTCTCTCTCTCTCTCCCTCCTGTGGCTGGGCAAAGCAGAAAGTAGGGCTTGGGTTAGGGAGTAGAATCTCTCAGGCATCATTCACGGTAGTAAGGCGAGATAGTGCAGCTGTTTGGAGCCAGTCAGAGAAGCATTTCAGGGGGCAGTTGGCCTAAGATTGTATTGAGGCCTAACTAACGCGGCCAATCAGCCCGATAACGATTGGATAACTCAAAATTTTCCTCTTTTTTTGAAATCAGAACCTACTAGTACACAACCCCCCAGCATCGCAGCACCTACGAGGAAGTCGTTGCACATCAGACACCGGCAGTAGAATCGTAGATTGTAAGTTCATCTGACATGTTGATTTTATATCTGCACTTCCGTGTGGCTGCCAAGCAAACAAGGCTAACCAACAATCACTGGCAATAGCTCCAAATGCCTCCTCCCAAACCCAAACCCAAGTCTAAGTCCTCTAAGGGCACCGACACCACATGGTCCCATGAATTCGATACCCTCCGCCGAGAGAACTTGTTCAAGAACCCCCCCAAAGATCACACCGCATACCCAGCTCTTACGGCGGCCATTGCCCCGCACATCGAGTCCTTCAATGCCCTCCTCGAGAAGGATGGCTTGATAGCACAAGGCTTGTTGGATATTGGCACCAGGACATATCTCGATGGAGACGAAAGAGCAGGAGCAGCGGGGAAAAATAAGTTGACAATCAGGATCAAGGAAGTGTTTGTGGAGAAATCAGTCTTGCCCGCCTCGAATAAGTTTTCTACCAAGAATCGAGAGATTATGCCCGCAGAGTGTAGAGAACGCCATGTCACCTACCGGGGGAAGATGAGTGCGCGACTGGAATCTAGAGTCAATAATGGAGATCCAAAAGAGTTTGTCAGAGATCTGGGCCAGATCCCTCTAATGCTCATGGTAAGTGCGCTGAAAATCCCAGCCGGCTGTCGCTGATTTATTCCCAAGTCAAACCGATGTCATCTCGAACATAACCCACCTGCCCAGCTAGTTCAGCGAAAAGAGGAAGCTGAAGAGCTTGGAGGATACTTTGTGGTCAACGGGATCGAAAAACTCATTCGTCTCCTCATTGTCAACCGAAGAAATTACCCCATGGCCATTGAACGACCTTCTTTTGCCGGCAGAGGCCCAGCCTATACAAAATACGCCTCCATTATACGATCTGTACGACCCGATCAGACTTCCCAGACGAATGTCTTGCATTACCTGAACGATGGAAACGTGACGTTCCGATTCTCGTGGCGGAAGAATGAATACCTGGTGCCCGTAATGATGATCATGAAAGCTTTGGTGGAGACAAATGACCGAGATATCTTTGAGGGTTTGGTTGGAGTTGCTGGATCCGAAGGCTCTCAAAACACTTTCTTGACCGACCGAGTGGAACTGTTACTGCGGACCTACAAGGCATATGGGCTGTATACGAAGAGCAAGACGAGGGCCTATCTGGGAGAGAAGTTCCGAATCGTGCTCAACGTTCCCGATACCATGTCGAATTATGACTGTGGAACCGAATTTTTACGAAGGGTCGTCCTTGTTCATCTTGGCAATGTCAATGTTACAGAGGCACAGGATATGGACAAGTTCAAGATGATGCTTTTCATGACGAGGAAGCTGTATGCATTGGTTGCAGGAGATTGTGCAGTTGATAACCCCGATGCTGTCCAAAATCAGGAGGTACTCTTGGGCGGTTTTCTTTATGGGATGATAATCAAAGAAAGACTCGATGACTGGCTCACAACCCAGCTCAGAATGTCAATACGTGATTGGACTCGGAAGAAGCCAGAAAATACCTTCGTATCACCAGACTTCACCAGGGACTTCCCTACTAAGCTTTTTGGCAGGACCAACGAGAATATTGGCGGTGCATTGGAATACTTCATGTCAACCGGCAATCTTGTTAGTCCCACGGGTTTGGATTTGCAGCAAGTTTCGGGATTTACAGTTGTGGCAGAGAAAATCAATTTCTTGCGATTCATCAGTCATTTCCGTATGGTTCACAGAGGTAGTTTCTTTGCTCAACTGAGAACTACCAATGTGCGTAAACTTCTGCCGGAAAGCTGGGGCTTCATGTGTCCTGTTCACACTCCTGATGGAAGTCCTTGCGGTTTGTTGAACCATCTTTCACACAAATGTCAGATCGTCATACACTCACTTGATGTTTCAACAATACCCCAGTTGGTAGTTGACCTTGGAGTGGTCAACTCTGGATCTTCTTCTACAAAGGAGAGCGTTGTTGTCCAACTAGATGGAAGAATTCTCGGGTGGTGTACCCCGAAGCAGGCACGTGCAATTGCAGATATCCTCCGTTACTGGAAGGTTGAAGGTAGTCACGGTGTGCCAAAAGAGCTTGAAATCGGTTACGTACCCCTATCCACTGGTGGGCAGTATCCTGGCATATACATGTCCTCTGCTCCTGCTCGAATGATCCGGCCTGTGAAGTATTTGCCACTCGACAAGGAGGATTTCGTTGGACCCCAAGAACAGCCTTTCATGTCAATCGCAGTAACTGAGCCGGAAATCATTTCGGGAGAATCCACCCATGTTGAATTTGATCCAACAAACATCCTGTCGATTCTCGCAAACATGACACCATTCTCTGATTTCAACCAGTCTCCGCGAAACATGTACCAGTGTCAGATGGGCAAACAATCCATGGGAACGCCAGGCACTGCCACCCGCTACAGAACCGACAACAAAACTTATAGACTTCAGACGGGTCAAACACCGATTGTTCGAGCACCTCTGCACAATGATTATGGGTTCGACAATTTTCCCAATGGTATGAATGCTGTCGTAGCTGTCATCTCCTATACGGGCTACGACATGGACGACGCTATGATAATCAACAAATCAGCCCATGAACGTGGGTTTGGCCACGGTACTATCTACAAAGTGAAAAAGATCGAGCTTGAAGAGGGCGCTATGAAGTCCCGCTCCACGAAGAATATCAAGAAACTTTTCGGGTTTGCACCTGGTGGAGAGATCAAGGCTGAATGGAAGGATGCACTCGATACGGATGGGCTACCATTCATCGGACGTAGGCTTCATGAAGGCGACGTTATCTGCGCTTGGCACACAGTTTCCATGGATGTGAATGGTGAGCTCGTGAATCGTGATGGGCAAACCCACGTGGAGAAGTACAAGGACGGCGAAGAAGCATTCATCGAAGAGGTCAGAATGATTGGCAATGAAAATGGCGCTGAACCTGCTCAAGCCATATCGATCAAATTCCGAGTACCTCGTTCACCTACCATTGGTGACAAGTTCTCCTCTCGACACGGACAGAAGGGTGTTTGCTCGCAGAAATGGCCAAACATTGACATGCCATTTTCCGAATCTGGTATCCAGCCTGATGTCATCATCAATCCTCATGCTTTCCCATCTCGTATGACCATCGGTATGTTTATCGAGTCACTGGCCGGGAAAGCTGGCGCCTTGCACGGCCTAGCACAAGATAGCACCCCGTTTAAATTCGATGAGGAGAACACAGCCGGAGATTATTTCGGCCACCAACTTATGAAGGCTGGCTACAATTATCATGGAAACGAGCCAATGTACTCTGGAATCACAGGGCAAGAACTCCACGCAGATATTTATATCGGAGTGGTCTACTATCAACGCCTCCGACACATGGTGAACGACAAGTACCAAGTTCGAACCACCGGTCCTGTGACTCAACTTACCGGACAGCCGATCAAAGGAAGGAAGAAGGGAGGTGGTATTCGTGTTGGAGAGATGGAGCGTGATTCGCTACTTGCTCACGGCACTGCATTCCTTTTGCAGGATCGATTACTCAACTGCTCAGACTACACGCGTTCTTGGATTTGCAAGCAGTGCGGTACGTTCTTGTCAACTCAACCAACAGTTTCTGCCTTTGTGTCGGCCAAGAAAGGAACCGGTGTAGTACGGTGCCGAAAATGTGCTAAGAAGGCCGAAGCGTGGTCAGGAAAAGGCGAAATCTGGGAGGATGGAGAAGGACAAAGATGGGTAGGAGGCGAGGACACTACCATCGTAGCTGTGCCGGGAGTATTGAAGTACCTGGATGTCGAATTGGCAGCAATGGGGATCAAAATGAAGTATAATGTCGGGCCGTGATTATGTACGGGAATCGTGGGCGTTTTGGAGTCAGCATTTGTGGCGTATATAAAGGAAGCCGAAAAGTTGGCGTCAAAAGGATTCTGGAATATCCGAATACAGTTATGTTTTATGAGCTTTCAAGAAGAGGGAGTGTTGTTCGTATAATATTACGAGTTTCTTACTACATGGGCTTGAACCGATATCTCGGACCTGCATAAAAATGTACGAAGTACAAACATGCAATACCTCTGAAACGGCTTGGCCTTGGTGCTGAGATGGATAAGGTGAGATGGGATTCGCATGCGTTCTGATTGGACACCTGACAACCTTGCAAGCGTCTAGCCAGCGGGTTCCCGCATGCTGTACTTTATTTCTTGCGACCTTACCGGTAGTAAGAAATGGTCTTCAAGATTACTACTATCACTAGGTTTATTGTTTGGGCACAAAATCCATGTTACGCATCAGATGATTTACGGCATGATGTCCAACAACAGCATGGTACGACTTCTATGCGGGACGCTCACAATTTGGACATCTCGTTATGTGTTTAGGTTCCCTTCAATTTGCTTATTACCACCAAGAACATTGAACGTGGCTGCGGTCAGCCCCAGTCAGCCCATTGTCATACATTGATGTGAGGATCTGGATCTGATCCCTGCGTCGATCCATTTCATCTGAAAGGTAGTTACTACCGATCCTCCCCTCATCCTCTTGTCATCATCCCTCTATTTTCGTCAAGAAAATTGAGGGGTAATTAACATTCGGAGACTCGGCTGAGTCTGTGTTACGAAGGAAGGCTGATTGCAGTCGAGCCTTGCATCACTTACCATCCAAATCTTGGTTTAAATAACCTTTTCCTCTGCAATACCTTGCATATACGATCATTCCCACTTACATTCTCTTGAGCTGCACTGGCAATCATTATCCAGCTGCAAATTGTCCATTCATTTCGTAATCTCTCGTGCACGGGAACAGTTTCCCTACATAGCTCTTCAGCAATAGAAGGTACGACACTCGTTTTCTGGTCTGAACAACCTTCAAATCCGGTACAACAGTCCTAATTTACGCTTTTCCTACAACTCTCTCGTCCTGCAATCACTACTCGACACTGCCCACTTTGGCCATTTAACTTTGTCAATATGCATTTCTTGAAACGATCAACTGCCAGCCTACTGGCGATACTAGGAGCATCTTGTATACAATCTACATACGCAGACGACCACGGGCCCTACAATTACGATGGTGTCAGGAATGTCGCCCGAAACCCCATTGTCCCGCGGCAAAGCACTCAGAACTTCTATCCAGTCACTGGACCGACAAGCAATGGGACTGTGGTAGTGCGGCAAGAGATCCGGGAGCTGCAGAAAGACTCAACACTCTGGACGCTATACATACTTGCGCTAGATTTCATGCAGTACACCAACCAGACGGAGATGCTTTCGTGGTATCAAGTCGCTGGGATCCATGGCGAACCATATGCCCCATGGGACAATGTGCAGCCTGGTCCTGGGCTCGACAATAGTGGATATTGCCATCATGTCTCGATATTGTTTCCTACGTGGCACCGACCGTATCTGGCATTGTTTGAGGTAAGCTGCTTTCCCTCATGGCATTCGTTGGTGCTAACTTGCCTTTAGCAAGTCATGTACAATCTCGTACAGGAGATTGCCTCGATGTGGCCTGCTGGATCGGTCCAAGATCGATACGTAGCTGCCGGCAAGAACTTTCGAATTCCATATTGGGACTGGGCAGCTGTTCCTAGTGATAACAGCAGTGTGTTGCCGCATATTGTTCAAGATTCCCCCAGCATATCTGTGGACGGTCCGGCTGGAACCCAAATGATTGCGAACCCTCTGTTTACATATCAGTTCAAGCCCGTGGATCCAAAAGCTTTTATATATAGCCCAGTAAGTATCTTGAATTCTGGATATTCTCACCTCTAACGTAGACGCAGTATAATGAACAAACTTTCGTTCTTAGATATCCGAACAACGATACTGCGTCTGCCTATTCCCAGAATGATTTAGTGGCAAGACAGCTCGACAACAACGCTGCCACATTCCGCAGCAGACTTTACAATTTGTTTGGCGCATATCACAATTACTCTACGTTCAGCAACACCGGATGGTATCCAGACAATACCGACGCCGATTATGATTCAATTGAAGGAGTTCACGATCAGATTCATGCCCTGGTTGGAAGTGGCGGGCACATGAGTGTCACAGATTACTCGGCCTTTGACCCTTTGTTCATGCTCCATCATGCCAACATCGACAGGTTGTTTGCAATGTGGCAAGTCATCAATCCGGATAGTTATGTTGTTCCAACGGCAGCTACAGCGGACACCTACAACTTCAGGACTGGAGATACGCTGGACAGCCAGAGTATACTCACCCCGTTCCACGACACTTCTGGCAACTATTGGAATTCCGATACGGCTCGAGATACCCACACGTTTGGTTACTCGTATCCCGAGACAAATGGAGGATCAGATGTCGATGTCAAAGATCAAGTCTTGAAAGCAATCAATGCACTTTATGGTGATAAAACTACTAATGGAACAGATGGAAATAATACCCCTCAGAGACGGGAAGCTGTTGTCAACCACCGGGAATGGATCGTGAACTTAAAAGCCGACAAGCATGCCCTTAACGGTTCCTTCTTCGTCCACATCTTCCTTGGAGATTTTGGCTCGGATCCTACAGGTTGGTCTTTCGAACCAAATCTAGTTGGAACATGGGCGGTCCTTGATAAGTTCAACACCGCAAACGCGCCTAATAAACCAGTCAGCGGCACCATCCCTCTCACAGGTGTTTTGTCAAAATTGGTGTTGGCGAACGAGCTCCAGAGTTTAGATCCTGACGTCGTCCAGCCCTACTTGACTGCCAATTTGAAGTACAGAGTCACATTGTTGAATGATACAGAAGTTGGAAATGGGGACGTGTCGAGCTTGTCTGTCACGGTGATCAGTGCTCCTGTTGTACCACCGCAGACTGATTCGGAGCTACCTTCTTGGGGGGCAACTGTGGTGCATATGGATATAACTACTACAAACTAATAGTAGTGAGACGCGATATTGGGGTTTGGGCAAAGAAAGCACGCTAATTGGAGTTTCGCATGCATTTACATGGACGATCTGGCGGCGTCGGATTTTACTACTCTAGAGGCACAGGATAGCCCAGAGTTGGCGTTGTTCAAACATATAGGCTTTGTTAATACCTCTCGCGTCCTCATACAAGCCTTTTCTGCGAATGTTAGTGAGTGAATACGTGATAGGGGGAAGTTTTGGACATATAGATCTTAAATATCTATGAACTGAGGTGACGTATCCACGTTCCGGAATGCTTCTCTTCTCTTCTCTTCTCTTCTCTAGACAGATAAGTTAATACGCTTTATAATCATACCTCAAGTCACCTGGTTTATTCATTTATAACTTATGTGAAAAACTTTTACCTATCTCTAAATTCAGAAAGAACCCTTATATTCAAGGTTTGCTAATATTACAAGTTCAATAGCCCTTAATAAAATCATACTCAAGCACATTTAATCATAGCATAGGTATTAATTCGTTAGCCAGCCAATGAAACTCACAACTCGGTTTCCACTACAATTTATCAGCGCCGTCAAAACGATTAATACGGGGTACATACCTCCTGGCTCTCTACCCTTCATGCTAAATTTGCCCTTAAGCTTGTGACCCGCAACCTTAGCCTCATCCTTGAGGAACTTCATATGTCGTATCGCCTTGATATTCATTCTGCCGCGGTGTTTGCGATGCAGCTCCGCCTTGGCAGCGCTTTGATCCTGTTTCTGGCGTCTTTTTTTCAGATCCTCATCCTCGATTTCGGAATCGGTGAGATCTTCCTGTACACCTAATGAGGAGTCGTCGTCCGAGTAGATTGTCGTTGGGCTGGAGACGTATTGTTCGAGTTCGTGACCGAAAGTTCCGTTCCATTGCTCATCTGTTGTCGTCTCGTGATAATCATCGATTTCTCTCTCAAATCCTGGAGCTTCGCGCGGGACCCGGGTGACAGGTCCATTTTCATCGATATCCCCATCTTGATCCTCGCCATCATTTGAAGTGCCTGTAGTGCTAGGTGAGGACAGAACATCCTTGACTGTATCAGAGGTTTCGCGCTTGACAATTCTAGTGCGGTAGCCTTCAGCAACACTGCATAACCATGATTCATAACTCTCTCGATCGTTGTTCGTTGTGAGCCATTGTTGATGCGTGTCATCCATCCCCATCTTGAATCTCACAGTCATCTTAATAGTCCCAATTTTCTCCGACTCAATCTTGTCCCTGTCGATATTCGAAATGTAATTCTGCACCAATTGTTTTGGCATTGGAGACTTGTAAACAGGAAGACTTAAAACGGTTTCAGTGTTGTCCACTAGATCGCACAGCCAGTATACAGCGTATGCCACCGGCTTCCGGGAGCTTTGGTTGAAGAATTCAATCTTGACAGGAGCCTGGTATCGTCTTCGAACAGGTACAAGAATTCGGCGTTTCTGTAAATCGTTGCTTCCTTCCCTAACTCGCTGAAGATTCCAAGAGGCTCCCCTTTCGTCCTTTTCGATCCATCGGCGGGAAATGCTACTCTTTCCAACATCTGTATGCACGACCATTCGAGAGCTCGACAAGTAACCGCTTTCGTCATTTTCGACAGAGACTCTCTCACCCAATATTTCAAGTGAGCCTAGGTCCCAGCCTAAAAGGTTCTTTGGTAATTGAAGATCAACTGAACGGAAGAGCACAGATATCATAATTCTTCCTATTATATCATCGAAATCAGTTCATATTTCAAGAAGATGAGAGGTTAGTGCAGGAATGGAAGACAAACCATAGCCCATGCCGCCATCAAGCGCGTATATGGCTGTCTTTTGAGACGCTGTCTGCAAAATTTCACTCAGCTTCAAGGTGCATGCTCCAAGGATAGAGTCGTGCTCGCGATGAACTGAATTCCAGCAGGTCACTGTGAACACAGCGGTTCGCCAGTCCCGTACAAATCTTTCCGTCTGAGCATTGAAGATTGGGTTCGAGGACTTGACCTTTGTTCGTGTTTTGAAAGCTAGTTCATCGTTCTGCAATATGGTACAGTAGGATGATGGCAAGTCGTGATGCTCTTCGTCGGTATTTTCTCCAGTGATCTGAGCAGGTGTCCATGGCTTGATATTGTCAGTAAAGCACAAATATCGGATTCATATTCAAACCTTATATGATCCAAAACTTCCCGAAGGTCTTTCTACTTCAAGGTTGTCGACCTGGTGAATTAATATCGAGCAAATTCCAGTTGGCAGTGAAGGGTCAGGAGGAGTTGTAGTGACCTGTGCCTCCTCATCGGTCGTGACCGTGCCCTTGTCATCTGCAAACTCCGGCCTGTGTCGAATTTCTTCTGGCACGCTGACATCTGTTCCGTCCGTTTTCAAAGACTTTTTGAAATTGGAGCGAGGGAAATACCTGTAACGAGTCAGCATTATTGTTGAGCAAGATAAAGACACGTTTGAGGTACCCTATTTCCCAAAACAGTTTTCCAGGCAATGGCTTGCCTTTCTCATCATGCAGCTCGTCGCTCCTTTCAGTTATTGTATTGGCATAATCCTTGGTGAGGTCTCTAAGATCGAAGTCGATCTTCCCAACAACATCATCGGCTGTAACCATATCAGAGTCCCATAACTCAACCGATAGTTTCTCGCCAGATGTAAGTTGATCTTGATAAATTAGAAGGCAGGTCTGCTCATTCCAAGACGGATTCAGTTCTTGTTCGATAATCCTTGTACAATACACGGGCTTTCCAAACTCTGAAAAGGCTAATGTTATGAAAGGATCGCTCTTGCCAGATCGATCTTGAGCTGAAATGCCTTCTGCTCGTTTGATCTTGATGTAGATAAGTCCAGTGGCGTCCGTCTCTTTCTTGATGGCATCGCCTTGGATTAACTTGGACAAATCCATAATCAGAGATTTTGGAGCAACATAAATGTCCAGGGCTGCAGCGATCGATGAGTTGATGAAGCTAGAGATAAGCGGTAGATCAAGTACGTTAATTCCTTTAGAAGTAAGTGGTACGGCAGATGCAGCAATTTTTGGTAGACCCATGAATGTAAAGGTAACATTCTTGAGGAATGGAGGGTTTGGGGTGAGCTGGAAGCGGAGTCTGACCGTGCCGATGATGCCGTTTAGCTCGACGAAGATGGGTAATGGGATTCCGATCAGCCCTGGCACTCCAAGGTAGAAAACAACTTCGAGATGCAAATTCTTAGCCTTTCCGATGACTCCTGTTGCGGGTACAGCACTGTACGAGATATCAGTCACAATTGTGGGAAAATTGGGATTTGGAACACCGTTTACTGGAGTTGATACAAGGTTGAATGCAATCAACTCCGCTCCTAGGATGTGTAGAGGGAATACTCTGAAAAGACTTACCTATACGCAAAAGACATCTCAAGGTTATAGTACTTGGAATTCTCATCGGTTTCTCCTTCTAGTTCACGTTGTTCCTTCTTCTTATCTCTATCTTCTTGACTCTCATGATTTGATTTTGCCCCTTGGTCTTCCTCTGCCGATGGGAGAGCTCTTAGAGACAAGACCTTGATTGGTTGATCTCCTAGACCTATCGATGATACCCGTACGTTCTGGATTAATGACGGAGGAACTGATGCCTGCATGACATCCTCCAGCGTGTCGGCCATCGATGCGAACATATCGGGATTTATCAGGCCCCAAACGACCCCTACTAACGAGTTCATCCATTCGACACTTTCAGGGACTAGTGATTCAGTCGCCGCTTTAGCTCGTTTGCGTTCAGCGTCCCAGTTGATAGCATTGGCACCTTCCTGGACACCCCGAAGCCAGAGATGAATTCCGCAAGATACAATAATACCCGCAAAAACCGAGGCAATCAAACCTTTCCAGCCCCTGTGAACAAAAAGCCAGTTGAGCGCAATGATGCCAATGATTATGACAGCAGAACTTTGTTGGACAGCCCCTTCTAGAGCACTAAAGGAGCGTTTGAGGTCTGCAATTGGAAGTGGGTGGTAGATAACCTCGTGGTTCTTGGAATGGTGTAGATAATCTTGGGTCTTGTCTGGATTGGCTTCAGGTGGAGCCAAGTCATCCAGAGTGGCTCTGTACTCTTCACCAGAACCCTCGGGAAGGTGAGGAAGTGGTACTCCAGGAATACTGTTTACTTGTGGAGCACGCACGGGATTCATGCTCGCCGTGGGGACTGTGATCTTGGGTTTCCTAATTGATTGTTCAAAATCCCCATCGACATCTTGGATAACCACTTCGTTTTTGGTTGTAGGGTCGACAACCTTTCTTCTAGACGCTGCCTTGGCTGCTTTGATCTTGTCGGATTCGCTTCCAGACGCGGCTTTCGATGCATCGGCATTTTGGAGGTTAAGTCTGTGGGAGAGCTCTGTAGCGAGTTTCTGTATAGTCGGAACCTGGGTTGATTGAGTGTTAGAGTTGGGGAGGGGGGATTGAGAAAGGTTTATGGTTTGGTTTTGGTTCTTACTTTGTTCCTTGCTGAATAGGGAGGCATTCTCGTTACTCAGGATTGATTGATTGATTGACTGATTGATTGTTTATTGGGCTTCCAAAGTGTATAGTAAGGAAGCTCAATTTTGATCAACAAAGGGCATGGCGAGCAGAAGTTGTGAAGTTCTGGAAACATTCCCAGCGAAATCCTGTAGTTGATGGACAACAGGGATAGCTAGGTATGGTATGGGTATGATGTACATCGATGACGTAGGATGCGACGTGGGGCTGGAGCTATCCCTGCAACACCACCAAGCAAGGAATCAACAATGCTTTCCTCCAATACTTGCTTGTATTAGAATCTAAACTTTCCAGCTCCAAGGTATGATCCGACCCATCCGCATTTCGGCTTGAATTCATGAAGAGGGGAAGAGCGGGAATCTCAGGCAATACAACAAACAGCACAACCATAGACAACTATCGAGCTGCACCAGCTAATTGACCATCTCACAATGGCAACGACCGCAATTAACGGCGAAACGTCGAAAACAAATGATCATGTTGATCAATCTCCAGGTATGAATATTATCTTGTCTCTCAGCACCCAAAAAAAGACGAGAAGAGACGAGAAGAACCGCGACCAGACGAAACCAGTCAGCTAACTTCCCATAAAGATGTCCCTGCTACTACGAACACGACAGACTCTACCTCGAATCATCTGCCATCCAGCCCTCCTGCCAAAAGTCACCAGGATGGTGTAATGCGTGCGGAACCAACGCAATTCGGCCAAGCTTATTCGGAAAGAAACCCACCTCCGAATATTCAGGCTCTCCGCGAGCATGACCAGACACGTCAGGAAGCCTCTCGACGTTACTTTGAAGAAAAACACGACGAGCCTACTGAGCCATCGAGACCAGAAGAGAAAAAGGACCCTACAGGCCATGAAGAACCGACAACTTCCGACGACAATGAGGCGAAAGCTGGTGCTACGGGGGATGTTCCTATCGGGGCCGAGAAAAGCAATGTTTTGTTTAATCCAACACCTCAGGTCGACTTCGATCAGGTTTTCAAGACGCTCCATGATGATGCTATGCAGGTGTCGTATGTAGTAGCTGGCTCAATTCTTGCTTTAGACTGGCTTTTTATCGGAGGTGGGTCTAAAGGATTGTTGAAATCGCTATTTCCAGCGCTCGGTGTAGCAATCGCTGTCTTTTATCTCCTGAGTGGCGTAGGACAAAAAGCAGCCGATAGGAAGGTGCAAAAAGCTGTCCCTAAAATTGAAAAGCTACGATATGTTCCAGAATCAGTGGTAGGTTTATTCTTAAAGGATTTCTGGGTCGTCTGGGGGATCCGGAGACACTTCCCAGGCTCCTTCACACCCTTGACCTTTTGCTAGCTAATTCTTTGGGACAGGAATGGATGAACTCGCTTGTAGATACATTATGGCACACCCTGCAGGTAATCAAACTCTTTGTTTCTCAATTTTGCGACGTTGGGCTGAAGGGTGTTCATCTTCGCTCTCGTTCTTGAAGACCAAGTACTAACTTATTGTAGAAAGACTTTTTTGACAACATAGCCTCTCAAGCCAATGATACAATCAAGCCTTATATCCCAGAAGGAGTCCCTGCAACTGTCAAAATCACTGAACTCGGTCACGGCTGTCAATCAGCTAGGGTTCTGTCTATGAGATCTCTTCCCGACTCTGAATTTGGGGATTTGGTACCTACACATGGTCTTAACAAATCTGGCTCCAGCAGTGAGGCCCAAGAACGCGAAAAGGCAATTGAGAGAGAAGAGGGCGGGGTTTTTTATAATCTGGAAATTGCAATCGCCTATCACGAAGCTCCTTTCCGATCTCGAAAAGAGCAAATGCATGTCGATATACTTGCTACTGTTGGACCAGTGCTACTACCTATCTTTGTTCAGGTCAAGGAATTCGTGGCTACTATTCGACTTCGGCTTCAAATGCACCCAGATTTGCCTTTTTTGAAAAACATTACTTTCGCACTTACCGAAAACCCAAAGATAAATACCTCTGTATCACTTGGCGCACCATGGGCCCTTGATCTTCTCAACCTGCCGATAATAGACAGTCTCTTGGCTTCTCAAATTGATCAAGCTGCTGCTGACTTTGTGCAGCCCAAATCTATGAGTTTGGATATGACAGCTTACGTGGGCGGCTCTGATCAGATGGAAGATACAGAAGCTATTGGAGTTCTTTTTGTCAAAATCCACCGAGCGCGAAACTTGGCTCGTCAAGATACAAGAGGACCCGGTGCCGATCCATACTTGACGATCGCTTTCAGCAAGTACGAGAAGCCGATGTATGCAACTCGTATAATCAAGGGTGATCGGAATCCAGTATGGGAGGAAACAGCTATCATCATGATTCGTGCAGAGCATGTAAAGCGTCAAGTAGGTTATTCCTTTTCTTCTATAGAAGCTGAGCATGAAAGCTCCAGACAGCTTCGAATCTCTTTGAGTACAATGCTAACTTTGGAAAGGAAAATGTACTTTTGCGGTTATGGGATTCAGATACAACTGGCTCTGATGACGTTTCTGGTGTATGCGAATTTCCCTTGAAAGACCTCATTCTAAACGCCAATCAAATGGAAAAACGAGAGGACAAGCTGCAGGGTGATGTTTCTGGTACTGACGCTGAAGGCGTGCTTGAATGGGAAATTGGGTACTTTCCAAGAGCTGAGTTTGAAAAGGCTTTACGAACAGATGCCATGGATCCTCGGGACCACCATGGAGATACGATAGAGGTAGCGGAAGAGGAAAAGACACAGAGTGCCCAAAACACCGTACCGGATCCGAATTTACCCTCTGGAATTTTGGGATTGACTATCCATCAGTGTATCAATGTTCAAGTTGATAATCCTGGCAAGAAGTCAATGGGAAATGTCAAAACTAGACGCCAAGATTCCGACGGAGAACTGAGTAGCTCGGAAGAAACCATCGACGTTGAATATATCCCATCGCTTTACGTGTCGGCCGATATCAATGACTTGTTGATATACAGAACCAGAGTGAAGAGTATCACTTCGGTAAGTTGTCTTATGCTTTTTAGGTCGTTGCTAATATGAAAGGCACCAACGTTTAATTCCAACACGGAGACATACATACGAGACTGGCGACTCGCTACTTTGACACTCTCAGTCTGGGATACAAGAAAGAAGAAAGACGATTGCCTTGTTGGAGTAGCGTCTCTCAAATTGTCCGACATCTTTCACAAATCCTCTTCGGTAGTCAAATTTTACGACCTGAAAGGTGGAGCTGGTACCGGCCGAATCCGGGTGAGCATGATTTTCAGGTCCATGAGAATGAAGCTTGAGGAATCGTTGCTTGGATATTCCGTCGGCTCATTCGTATTCTCATCGCCCATCTCGTGTACCGGAGATATGTATACCAAGAGACTCAGATTGCGATCGTCTGCCACGACGCGAGCTATTAAGAATGGTTCCAAGTCGGATGCCGATTATACGTGGAACCTTGAGGATTCGCAAAACATACTCCCAGTACACTACCGATACATGAGTGCTATCGTGTTTGAATTTATTGGTGCTGGGTTAACGGAGAAGTTGAAAGGGCCCCTCGGCAAGAATAAGCACTATGCTGTGCTCTGGCTGTTCACACTTATTGACAACAAGGAAGAGAATTTCAACCTTCCGATCTACCATACCAACAACCCAGACCGGCTGATTCAGAACGTGGTTGATGAATCTGACGATCATATGGAATTAACAGAAGTCGGCAGGGTAAAGTTTAGCGGGAAGTTCAAGGCTGGGCTTGATGAGGCACATGGCGAGTTTCAGAAGGATCATGACCACTGGAGCACGTACCAAGCTTGGTTGGCTGCTAGAAAGTCTGGTGAGTAAGTGTGATATTGCATTAGGTTTTTTCCGGGGTCTATCTAATATGATGTAGGACAACGTCAGGATCAAACCAATCGAACGACTAATAAGTTGAATGATGAGTTAGCAAAGGGGATTAAGAAAAGTCAATCGATTCATGTATAATAGCGTGATCTATATTTTAAATGAAGCAACTTATAATCATAGAACAATACCCTATGCAGGTTATTAGAGGGAGTAGTCTGGGAGAGGTGTGCTCTTATATTTACGTCTACTATTCTCTAAATTACGCCGGTCCGCTTTCAGCTGTTATATCTTGCTATGTGTTCTGTTTGCTTACCATTAGTGACACTCCCGGAGCCAAGTCAAGTACCCCCCCTCCCTCACTCCCACCGGGGACACGTACAACTTCCACCAAGCAACTCCGGCCCACATTCCAGCATGCCATCAATCACATCCACTCTATCCAACCCACAACAATGCCGTTAGAACTCCAAGAAATCGACCCGTCGACCGATTTCCCGTCTCTCGTACGCTATCTTCGAGGCACACGAAGACCCACCACAGCGGGTTTCCCACGTCTTCTTCCCCATTCACGGGGCGGGAGAGGACGCGCGTGGAGAAGCCATCAATAAGGCAGCCACTCGATTGAAACTCTGGCGGGTACCTAGGCATTGGTTGTGGCGCGTACCGAATCTGAGGGGCATATTCACTATGTAGAACAATCTAGGATGAAAATAGGTCTAAACAGGACAAAAACACAAATAATCGCATGCTTGAATTTGCAATCCACTAGTTGATAACGGGGAAGTAATAGGTATGAAGAAGGATGAAGTGACACGCAGGTACCCTGCTCTGCTGCCTGCTTGCTTGCCTATCTATCAGAAGATAGCTCCAAGTGTGTGTTTGTGAGAGAGAGAGAGAGGTTGAAAGCGGGCTAGAATAGCATGCAAGCAATTTTTCAGAGGAGAGAAGGAAACAAGTACTGTATACGGTAGGTGGGAATAAGGAATAATCCCACACGTTACATCGAGAATCAGCTAGCTGTGTTGCTGAACACAGCTCAACGCAAGATGAAATGATGAAATGATGTAATGATGCTCTTGAGGTTTCATGAAAGCTGAACTCACTCACGATGTACGAAGAGCTCTGCACCAATCCCAACAAATACTCTTTCTTACAAGTTATGTTTTCAAGAGTGTAACTTTAATACAATCAACCTGTTCGTATAACAATTACCGTGTTACCTTACACCCCAAGACTAACGCCCTCATATCACCGCCTAAACTCAATCCCACGATCCAAATTAAACGCCGCGCTAATCAACGCCAAATGACTAAATGCCTGCGGCGTATTCCCCAACTGTTCGCCACTCCTCGCGATCTCCTCACTGAACATACCTAGATGATTGCTGTACGAAAGTATATTCTCAAAAAGATTCGCCGCGCGCACCAGGTACTTGCTGTCGTAGGCGCCGGCGCGGGTGAGGGCTTCGACGAGCCAGAAGGTGCACATGGAGAAGGCGCCTTCGTGGCCGCCGACGCCGTCGTCGGAGTTCTGGGTATTGTAGCGGTAGACGAGGCCGGTGGATGTGAGACCGCCTTTTTCCGGGGGGAGAAGGATGCGGTCCATTGTGCGGATGAAGCGGGGGTCGTTGGGGGAGATGAAGAATACCAGGGGGGCGATTAGGATGGAAGAGTCGAGGTAGTCTCCGCTTTCGTAGCTTTGGATGAAGCATTGGATATTTTTGCTGTAGCCTTTTATCTTGTTAGTTATCGTGGTGGAAAAGAGGACGGGGGTTGGGGGGAGGGGGGAATACCAAGAGTCATAATCTCTTCGTATAGCTCATCCCGAGTTTGCAACCACTTGGCACGATTCGGACATGGCAGACAGCGTTTATCAGCTAGTCGTAAACCACGGTCGAACGCGACCCAGAGCATGATCTTCGAGTAGACAAAGTTTTGCTTCTTGTTACGGACTTCCCAGATTGACATATCGGGATCTGTTTCATGCATTAGCAAGGTACGCGGTGAGTGGGCAGGAACCTCATGCCTTTACAAATTGTAAGTACAAAGTCAAGGATTTCCCGCACGGCAACCCACTGTTCCCATGTGACAGGTTTCCCGTACTTGTTGTATAGATAAATAGCGTCCATAAGCTCGCCGTAGATGTCAAATTGTTGATGTGTTGCAGCGCCATTGCCGATACGGACAGGGTTGCTAGAACGGTATCCGGAGAGGTGGCTAGATGTGTTATTTAGCTTGATATTCAGATTTCAGTGGGTGTATTTACTCTAGTTCGAGTTCAGGAATATCAGTCTCGCCTTTGATGGTGAACATGATAGGTAAAGCACCCTCTTTTGTCCGTGATTTGCGGAATCTATCACTGATAAAGTCCATATACCTATCTGCTTCTGCAGTAAAGCCCATACGGAGGAGGATGTAGATGGTAAAACTCGAGTCCCGGACCCAGCAGAACCGGTAGTCCCAGTTGCTGCATAACGTTAGCAGCTAGAAACACATTTTCAAGCAGAGGGAATATTTACCGGCCCCCTCCAATAGCTTCCGGAATCGAAAATGTAGGCGCAGCAATGATAGCACCAGTCGGTTCATACGTCAAAAGCTTGAGAATCAATAAGCTGCGGGTAATAATCTCCCTCCAACGGCCTTTATATTTGCATTTTAAGATCCAATTAAACCAGTATTTCTGTGTTGCGCTCTGTTGGAGATCAAGAACTTGTGTCGTGACATCGCGCGTGACATGGTTCGGGATGTTCTCCCGCAGAACAAAGGAAATGGCTTGTCCTTCTTGGAGATGGAGGTGAGCTACAACTCCTTCTCCCAACATACCTTCCTTTTGCTCTTTTCTAAAGATGACAGAAGGACAGGAATCGGCATCTTCTTCACCGTGATCAATTGTTACATCAAGTTGAAGAGAGAGGTCGGCATGGGTAAAGGTCACGGTTTTGGAGTCTGGACATCCGGGGTTATGGACGGGGAGGACTAGTTCGGTGGTGTGAGTGCCGCGGGCGTAGTCGAAAGCGGGGAATATCTCGACGTCTGTTATGATGTTGTTAGCCTGGGCTATTTGAGAAATCAAGTACTGCTCAATCAATGCTATTGGCCGACTTGGAATCTCCAAAAGTCTCCAATAGACATCCCAAATGATTGAAACGCGTCTAAACCTGCAACTTATAGCAGAGGTCCAGATCCTATTGCAGTAGGAGAGTCAACCTACCTAAATCAACCTCTCCCCTAATACATTCCACCCTCCTAACCAACCACTTCTTCAACTCATCCTGCACAGGTACCGTCTCCCGAAACGGGGTCTGCTTAGACCCCTTGGCAACAACACTGCCCTCACTAGGCCTGGGGAAGAAATCAACGATATCTACAACGCCATCATCGTGTATGTAACGCGTCTGCAGGATATTAGACGACGGCAAATACTGCTGCTTGGTGGTACACGTAAGACCGTCCGGGGGCGAGATGCTGAAGTATCCGCCTTTGTCTTTGTCCAGGAGTCTGCAGAAGATGGAGGGGGAGTCGAAGTCGGGCCTGCGGAGTTAGTTGGTGGGATAAGATAAGGGGAGAGGGGGAAATACCAGCACATGAAATCGATACTTCCGTCTATTCCTACGAGAGCGCATGTCCGTAAGTTGCCGATTAGACCATAGTCTTCAATTGGGAGGTAGCCCATTGTGTCGCGGCGGGACGGCATATTGAGGGGTTTGGGATTAGACTGTGGACTGGACTGGGGAGAGCAAGCTTGCACAGTATGAAGTGGAAGCAGATGTAGAAGTTCTGCAGAAAGGAAAGAGGGTAGAAGAAGAGAGTAGTACACAAGGCAAATAAGGGACCAGCGATATGATAGATTCACATCACCTTTTCAAATCTAATCCTAGGTATCCTCGTATCTTCGCATTCTTGATGCTTTACTTGGAGTAAGCGTAGCTTATGTCTCTGTTTACCTACGTCACCACTCGGCATGTGCGGCTTTTGAGACATAGAGGAATCAATCTATTCGGAAACGCAAAGGAGATCTGTTCGTAGAGATACCAACCGAGGACATTGCATGCGATATTGTATAGCATAGCATAGCATGGCAAGAAATATATTTTTGCTAATGAGTTGGGTGGTGTGGTGTTGAGTTGTGATAAATCGCTCGCTACAATGCAATTTATTGATGGAAATGCTGCAATTGGCTACGAGCAAGCAGGGGAAGGTCACATTTTCCGTTTGTTACAAGGAGACGTATATTCTGGTTGTATTCAGCGGTTGTTATGCTTTTTACGGTATTATCTGCCTGGTATTAAGGCTATCCGCTATGACAGGACTCTGAGTAGGTATGCATCATCTGAAAAGCTACTCTTGCAATAACTCCCCAACTCCATAGTCTGACTACCACACCTCTTTCAATCCACCGCTTATCCTAGAACCTTGAGTCCCCCCTTCGTCTTACTTCCAGGCTTCTGCACCCCACTCCCAGTCTTATCCCCATCCTTCCCCTTATTGTTCTTCCCCTTGTTACCCTTCCCCTTTCTATTATCTCTCGGTGTAACAGCCTTAATCTCCGTCGTGCTCCTCCTCAGTAAAACGGGATGACTCCCAATATACTTCCCCTGCATCTCCCTCGCGGCACTAAAGAACTCATCTCCATCCGAAAACGCTACAAACCCATACCCCTTACTCTTCGTAGTCCGCTTATCCCGAATCACCCTCGCCTTCTGGATACTAGGCCATCTGCTGAACGCCTTGTAGAGAGATTCATCTGTTACTTCACCCGCGAGATTTCCCACAAAGAGTCGGAAGTGCGAAGGGTCCCATTCGAGGAGCGAGCCGTCAGTCCAGGTCGTTCCTCCTCCTGAGCGCACTACGGTTTTCTGACTCGGGTCCTTGCTGTCCGAGACGATGTTCGCAACACCACTGTCAACGTTTGCGGCGGAACTCATGGCTGCAGAGGACATTTCTCCTCGCCCGCCTAATGGAGCGGCATTTGAGGAGGTCGCTTGGCCTGGCGCGGAGGGGTCGCGACGCACAGGGCCCGTGTAGCCAGATGTGGAGTTTTGAGGAGTGCTAGAGATGGGGGCGGCGTAGGCGGATTGCCATTGGGCTATTTGGGCAGCCATGTCAGGGTCTTCTTCATATGTTTGTCTAGCTGGGCCAGCGGTTGGAGGCGCGAAGGGATTGCGGATTTGAGGAGCTGCGCCGTAGGAAGCGTCTTGGGACTGGGCTTGGGGTTGGGGTGGGTAGGCGCCATATTGTTGTTGTTGTTGCTGCTGGGGATAGGATTGTTGTGGTGGGTAGTTGTTGTAAGAAGGTTGTGGTTGCGCCGAGGCTACGGATCGAGGCGCGAAGCCTTGGATGGATGGGCGAGATGCGCCATTTTGGAATTGGCGGGGAGGGAGTGTCGAGGGTGGTGGGCGTGCAGGGAGAGAGGGGTGTAGTGAGGAAGAGGCGGGAGGAAGACCTGGAGGTGGGGGATAGGACATGATGAATTGGTGTTCTTTTGTTATTTGGTAGAAGTCGTTGAGACGTACCTTTGCGTATCAACGCGGTGGACCCCTGGACTTGAGAGTGGCGTGTAGATGTTGTCTCTAGAGGTTGAGGTTGTAGACAACTTATGAGATGGTAGGTAATAATGGCAATTAATGGTGTCGGCGGCGCAACTCACTTGACGGAAGAAATACTAGCGCCGATAGTCACATGATAGAAGATTGATCACATGAGCTGTAATGTGAGCCTGAGGAATTAAGATGATGCCTGATTTGGTGGGATGAAAAAGCCTGAAGTGGGGGCTGGTGGGGGTATTTGGATTACTTATTCGGCCAAAAGAACAATATCGCTGGAGAGGAAAAGGATGAGAATGAATGGCATAATGAAGCATGATTGTAGCCCTTTGTACAGATTTTCGTGGTCAAACGTGTCCATGTCTGACGGCAGGATCTCTCTGCATGATTCTGTCGATATGTTGAGTTGAGTGAGTGAGACTCAAAATGTCGGATCTCTCTCCTCTCTGTCCCGTCTAGACCCGGTCTAATGTTTTGCCTACTAAGCAGAGAGGCAGATCTTCCCGTCAACCCCTCGGGAACCTATTTCTTTCCTTCTTCCTTCTTTCTTCCCTCAAAACCACTCCTCGACTTCTTCTCGTAGAAGTTCAGATCCATACCATCCTCCCCTCACAAGCACATCCATCCCACCACCATCACAATGAGCGAGCCAACGTAAGTGCTGAATATTTTCCTCGTCTCAACATTTACCCCACCATCGCTACCGTCATCGACGTTTGCACCACCACCACCACATCTCTTCTTACAAACCCCAACCCCCAAAACATGTAATCCAATTCATGCAGCAATTAGATGCGCCTCCTTTCCTTTGCTCATCTCAAGATAATCAAGTTGACTCTCGTTTTTTCTCCTTGGCAGCGCGCAGCAGCGTCTTGCCAGAATCAACATTGGCGGCACTGCGCGCGAACCCTCGGATTCCATCTCATCTGCTTCTAAAACTGACAATGGCCCCAGGGGAGATTTCGGCCTCATCGGCTTGGCTGTTATGGGCCAGAACCTTATCCTTAACGCTGCGGATCACGGATACAATGTCATCGCTTTCAACCGAACTGTTAGCAAGGTTGACCACTTCATCGCCAACGAGGCAAAGGGAAAATCCGTCGAAGGTGCCAAGTCAATCGAAGAATTCGTCAGCAAGCTCAAGAAACCCCGCCGTATGATGCTCCTCGTCATGGCGGGTAAGCCCGTCGACGACTTCATCGAGACTCTCCTCCCCTTCGTCGAGAAGGGTGATATCATCATCGATGGCGGCAACTCACATTTCCCCGATACCAACCGTCGAACAAAGTACTTGGCTGGTAAGGGTATCCGATTTGTCGGTACAGGTGTTTCCGGTGGTGAGGAGGGTGCCAGATACGGCCCTTCCCTCATGCCCGGTGGAAACGAGGAGGCTTGGCCATTCATCAAGAACATCTTCCAGGATATTGCTGCCAAGAGTGATGGTGAGCCTTGCTGCGAATGGGTTGGTGATGAAGGTGCTGGTCACTACGTCAAGATGGTGCACAACGGTATTGAGTACGGTGACATGCAATTGATTTGCGAGGTATTTTCATCCGGCACCTGTAATTGGTTTGGTTAACTAATACTATCAGGCCTACGATATCATGAAGCGCGGTCTGGGCATGAAGGACAAGGAGATTGGTGATGTCTTGACAACATGGAACAAGGGCGTTCTTGACTCTTTCCTCATCGAAATCACCCGCGACATCATGTACTTCAACGATGATGACGGAACTCCTCTCCTCGAGAAGATTCTTGATTCTGCAGGACAAAAGGGAACTGGAAAGTGGACAGCTATCAACGCTCTCGACCTCGGAATGCCCGTCACTTTGATTGCCGAATCCGTTCTCGCTCGTTGTCTCTCCTCCATCAAGGCCGAGCGTACTGATGCTTCCAAGGTTCTTTCTTTCGTTGGCCGATCCACCAAGTTTGAAGGCAACAAGGAGCAGTTCCTCGAGGATTTGGAGCAGGCCTTGTATGCATCAAAGATCATTTCATACTCCCAAGGTTTCATGCTTATGCAAGAGGTACGTCTACACCCTCTTAACTCCAGAATCTTTTCTAACATAATACAGGCTGCCAAGGAGTTCAAGTGGAAGCTTAACAAGCCATCCATCGCCCTCATGTGGCGTGGAGGCTGCATTATCCGCTCTGTTTTCCTCAAGGACATCACAGCTGCTTACCGCGAAAATGATGACCTCCAGAACCTCCTCTTCAGTGACTTCTTCAACAAGGCCATCCACAAGGCGCAGCCAGGATGGAGAGACGTTGTTTCCAAGGCCGCTCTACTCGGTATTCCAACCCCTGCCTTCTCTACCGCTCTGAGCTGGTTCGATGGTTACCGTACCAAGGACTTGCCCGCCAACCTCCTACAAGCCCAGAGAGATTACTTCGGTGCCCACACCTTCAAGATCAAGCCTGAATTTGCCAACGCCAAGTACAAGGAGGGTGAGAACATTCACGTCAACTGGACCGGGAGAGGTGGTAATGTTAGTGCGTCGACTTACCAGGCATAAATATTTGCGAAGCGCGGTTAAATGTAGTTAGAGATTGATAGCAAATACATCGCGTAGATTGGATCTTTTGTTGACTAAATTCTGTGCATTTCTGTTCTCAAAAAGCCTGCTGCCTTATCACTAGGATTTGGTCAGTCTACCTTATTGACTTGTGTGGCCGGTGATTTATCCGCCAATGCACAGCTCACCAGGAATTTCAACTGAGTTGTGTATTTAGCCTGATGTTTTTCCACGCACGTTCACTAGTTCTTGAGGGATTTTATGCCCAATCCCGCCTTTTACGGAGGTACATACAGTACGCGTCTTAAAAGATCTCCACCCCCACCTCCAAAGCTTTCATTACATGACGCATGTTTTGCTAGGGTGTGCAATTAGTCAATCAGTCAGCTATCTATTAAATAAGAGGCACCCTCTATCTGACTGACTGAAGGTTGCTTGCTGTCTAGCAAAAAAAAGAATGAATCGGTGGTTAAGTAGCGATGAATGATTGCTTTCTGTGGCTTGAAGAACCAATCCATGGCTCTGCTGTACTTGGAGATTTCATGCGTGAGATCCGGATAGGGTCGTGAACTTCCGTTATCAAGAGCAGTGTGTTGACTCTCTAGTCAGGTATGTCTATCATGCTTTTCTATTGCTTCTAAACCCTAGCCTGGTCTTTGGAAATGTTGATGTATTATTCACTGCACTGCAAGTATCGGAGTATCGTCAACTAAGCGATTGATTTCCCTGATCACGCATTGCTTCCGAGGGGGATATAGAAAATTAGGTGTTAAGAGTATAGTTTGCTTCCACGATCTATAGAATTTAAAGCTTGAATCCAACGTCTGTTTCCCAGCTCGCATTAACTACTTTAGATTTCAAGTTTCTAGAAAGTCCGCTGGGTGTGATGGTGAACTTTTTTATTTCGAAATGATGTGGTTGTGCTAAGCATACTTGGCTTGAAAGAATAGTTCACACATTTATTAGCTGTCAAGTAGGTTCTTGCTGTCACGGAAATTTATCATTCCTTGAGGTGCGATGATTACTGTATGCGATATTCTTAAGTCAATCTTAGTCCGTACGTAGTGTAGGCATGTCAAACAGCTAATCGTCCATTTAGCGTTTCACAAAAACGGGTTTGAGCATAGATTATACGGCTGTATTTACAATTCCACGTAAAATCGATGAGTAGCACGCCACATGCAGTCTTCAGGAAATATATCACTGTTGAGCTAAGGAGCTTCTCTGCTGTTTCCGCGTATCTTATACACATCCATCTGCTCGAGTACGAGTTTTGAAACTGCGCTTTACATCTGTCTACTAATATAATATTTCTGCTTAAGCTGGCATGGATATGACGGCTCATACTAGATGATGCAAATTCTGACATTCATTTGGTTGATGGAGGCAAAGCTAGGACTTTAATCTTACTTTCCAAATACTAGAAAGTGAATTTTACAAGTTGAATGGCGTGTAATGTAGCTGGAGTTGCTGATAGTCAAGTGAATAGATTGTAACAGATAATACTTCCTTGAGGCTGGCGAGGGCCAAAAGCCCAACTACTAAGGGAGAGAGGATATACTATTACTAAACGCAATATGACTTTCATTATGAAGGAATAGTATTAGAAGATATGATAACAATAGAGAAACGTGTAACTTGATTGCCTTTGCCTAGCTAGATTTCCAAGCCAAGTAAATAAGTGACCGCCAGCACAACCCTCTCCGTAGTAGCAAAGCTCCAGACCCCAATTCACTCGAGTCTTGCAATCATTAGCTTAAGAGAGGAATCGCTTGTTCTTTATCAACTCCTCCCACAAATCCATTTCTGACTCCTTTGACAAATCTCTTCCTCTTCACCAAACTTTCAAACCCAGAATTCCACCAACAACACTTGCTTTTAAACATTGTGACATGCACTCTCGTTTCTTCTTGCACTTGCAATTGTTGCATTGAGCTTCTTTCTCTTCCCTAATCTCGCCATCTGGGAGTCCTCTCTTGGGCAGAACGTCACCCCACTACCATCTCAGCCTGCTTCTCGAGGTCTCTCTTCGATACAGCAGTTACAATTACATCTTCTTCCAATGGCAGAGATCTCCCGCTCTAGGTCTTACAAGGAGAGCCTTCGTCGACAAGGCCAAGGTTCTTCTCCCGCCCCATATCAGTCGGCCCAGCCACAATTGTCCTTTTATCAATTCGGCATTCCACCCTCACCACCCACACCACCCACATCACCCACATTACCCACACCAGCAACTGTCCCACAACAGGTCCAGCTGGACTTTGACGACATGGACTTCGAATATACCGATTCACCTACCCCAGTGTACAACGACCAACCCTCATATCACATCTCTCGACCTCCACACCCTAATGTTTTTCAGGTTGGCATGACCAGCACTGCGTCAGTTTGCAAGGCTTTCCATAATTTCAGAGAACCCCTTTCTCGTCAGGTGAGCCGTAATTGTTCGGCGTTGGTAGAGTACAGTACTCACAGGGACTTCAATAGAACATTCCATTGCAGCTCTGGGATACCGCTTTAGAGCTGGAACACAAATCTACACTCTCGATCTACTCACTTGGTGCTTCCAGACCCTGTTCCGATCTTCCCGTACACTACAGCCCTTGCGTACACCAGAGCCACCTGAAAGCAAAGAGACCAGGACCCATGAAGGTCACCAAGAAGTCGAAGAGCCTACGCAAGTGTACCTCGACAACAGCAGTCTTACTAGACCCGCAGAGTTTGAGACACATCCGATACAATCCCACTTCGGGCGTGCGTGGCTACAAGAAGCGACTTTCTGAGATCTCTTCAAAACGCTGGACCTCTCTGTCAGACCGTGATACCCAGCCACTGACCCCTCGAGGATTCGGTAGTGGAAATCATTCTAGGCGTACAAACGCAGAATGGGATTACATTTTCCACAAGGAGGCGGTCATAAAATCGAGGAAATTCTTCAAGTCGTTATGTAGCAAGAGCAAGAAATCTCTCAAGAGTCTTAAGAGCCTGACAAAGCGTGCTGCGTCTCGTGTGAGAACTCTCGCGAGTACAGTTTGTATCAAGGCCTCTTGCGGATTAGCTCTTAAGTCGAAGACTGGGTGCAGTCCGAGGCGCAGGGAGAAATTCCAGCAGAAGGTATGTCCCTGTCATTTCTCCCACCTCGGGCTCTTACTCCAGATCTTTCGTCGCAACTGCAGACCGAAAATGCAGAAGATGAATAAGACGGAACTTCGGGCTCGTCCGTTCAGACGCGATAAAGTCAAGGGTGTGATAGACATACGAATTTGGCGGGGTATGTACCTTGATCTCTGGCTGCTGACATTGACAAGAGCCATGCTGATAATTCTTTGTTGTCTCACTTGCAGCCCTGAGAACCAAGTATCTGGCCCATTCTCGCGCCTCCAATGTATCTTCAGTTGGCGGATGGTCCAGATCTGAATCATCGATGAGTGATGATGGAAGCGATGCTACTTCAACATTTGGCAGTAGCTTCGCATCATCGTCATCATCATCATCGTCGTCGTCTTCATCTACCTCGATGGGCAGCATTCCGCAGAACGTTGGACGTCCCAAGTCTGACTTCGAGAACGAAATCTCCAAGTCAAATCTGGTCCAGATTGCTAGTGAAAACTCAAGGACTCGCAAGTTAGCAGCACTAGCTACAGCTTTGACAATGTTCCCTGACATGCCCCCTGCCCCTCCTCCCTCCTGGGTTCGATGAGGAGCTCTCCATTCTTCTAATCATCTCTTTCTTCATAGAGTTAGCTCCATCACATAATTTTGCTCCAAAATACCCTTCATCAGTCAAATGAGGCTCAGCAGAACCCCTCCACCCCGCCCACCTCTCGTCATTCTACCAGGAACTATCGCAGACGAAGGATCAGGCCACGACACGCGATGTCCGACACAAGTCTCCAACGTGCTGGACATTCAACACGGTGCGCTCCGTGCTCACATCTACTCTCGATACGAGATCCAGGCGACGATCATTTGGTACCTACACAGGCACCCAGAAGTATTTTGAGAGATCCCAGGCTCGAGTGTGCATTCTCGCCATGCATATTTGAATCGACAGCCTGATGAGCAGCGCACCGCGGCAAACACACCACTTCTCGGATTCAAGACCCTCTCATCACCGTCGATGATGGTCAGTAGGCAGCCAGACGGGTTGCCAAGAAGTTTTCCGAGAAGTTTAAATGGGTGTGGAAGACGATTATAGACGAACACACCACTCCTCGGATTCAAGACCCTCTCATCACCGTCGATGATGGTCAGTAGGCAACCGGACGGGTTGCCAAGAAGTTTTCCGAGGAGTTTAAATCGGTGTGAAGGACGATTATCCACACTGAGAAGGGGGTCGAGAGCGATTCACAAGATCCTCTTTGGTACGATACCATTAGATTCCCTTGTCAGAATTGTCCTTGCTTCGTGTCTCAATCGTCTTTGCTGCGTGTTTGATTGTGGGGGATTCTGTTGAGTTGGTTTGTCTGCCTGGCCCTGGCGCTGGGGTGAGGGGATGATGGATTTGATTGTGTGATGGTGATGAGTCTGCTGACCATGACTTCTCCGAAGAGTGGTGTACTGATGGGATGCGTGCCGGGTCTGCCGTTGGATGGCCTGGGTTTGATGGGGTTAAGTGACGGGATTGTTTGATTTTGGAGATGATACTTTGTGTTTGAGTTTTTATACTTTCCTTTCTTCTGTGTCTTCGTTTTGCTGTCATCGCCCAGAGAGGATTTTTATTAGCGAGGAGTTTAGGGAGCGATGATGCTCACTTTGGAGCTTTTTGGGCGCTTTTTGATCTTCTCATAGTCATAGTCATAGTCACAGTCATAATACAAAAGTTTTGATTGGTTGCATCCTTGTCTTCTCGAATGCTATGAGGTGGCTAGAGTGAAAAAATGCCAGTGCTCGTACTCTGTAGATACAGCCTTCTGTTATCATTATGGTATCAAATCACGACAAAAGCAGTTGAGGAAATTTATGTAGGTGGAGCGAACAACTGTGCCCTTTAGATCAGA